TAACATGAATGTGAAAATTGCCACAATCATTTTGCAAATACAGAATTAATCCCAGTGGTGAGTAAGAGCCAAAATGAACACCTTTTGTGGTTACATAAATCTTTCTGACAAGAAAGTAGTCATGTAATTAAATAAACCTGTGTAGCTAGAAAGAAAAATAATTTCGCATCTAAAAAGCCATCTATTACCTGCTTATCATTCTGTAGCCAGAATCTAATAATCAGCCTTTTTAAGAGATGGACAAATTACATTGCCAAGCCCAAACTGCTATTTGAGGCATGTAACATGATTTGAATTGATTCTGATGATTCTCTAAAGAGCAGTGGAAAAAATGCAATATTTTCTTTTTAGTATTTTAGGCTGCTCTTTATAATTGCCCAAGCTTTTCTAAAATATGTAGATTTTTAGAACTTTCAAAGGATCATGTTTAGTAGTTTTGAAAGGAAAAAAGAATATAGAAGATTCACCCACTTAACGAATATTATTGAAGATCCACTCTATATAAAGCCCCATGCTGGAGTCGGTATGTTCCTTGCTCTTTGATAAGGCTGTGTGTCCACTTGAGTAAAAGGTAGAGGGTGAAATCAGTTACCCTAGTCCACCATATGAGACACGGACCCTAACTCTTTCAGTTCACAAGCAAACAGAGTGACAAGGACTGAGCCGCATTGTCATTCCAGTGGAAAGATGCATTTCGAGGCCCCCTGTAGAGATTCTGATTCAGTGGATCCACATGGGCCCCACGAACCTGCATTTTAATTAGCAACCTCAAAAAATTCATGAGCACAGTACAATTTAGGAAGCATCATCCTGATGGCATAAAAACCTCCAACCACATCGACTTGGCTCAGCTTTTTTGTGTCTGAACGTCTCACAGGCAAGTGTCTAAACATCTCAAATAATTTTATGTATGTGGATCTCAGATTTAGCTATTGAACACTGAGAATACTGGAATGGCAAGTGTGAAGACTGAACAAGCAAACATAATACATGCATAAAACATGAACTGGGTCATTACTGTTTGGTAAAATTAGCCAGCTCAGCAAACTTTTGCTGGGTATTCACAGTCTTCACCTTTGGAGTAGACTATGGCAGCCTCTATTTTAAAGGGGATAAGGAGCTGGTGTTTTGAAACCGGCATTGTGAGGTTGGGAGTCAGAGGAAAACAGAACCATTGCCTCATTGTAACATGTAGAGTTGTAGCCTGTGACTTTGATTTTGCAACAGGTCACTTTAGCTTAGTTTTGGGACAAAGAGGAGTTGTAGTCATAATTATAAGAGTTCTTAATGATCTTCTTAGAGTGACTGTGTGGGCAAGAACAAAGAATAGAGAATAATTTTCTATGCACAACATTTCCAAGATGCCATAACTATGTAGGAGAAACTTTTATGTGTTTGTAAAATGAGTTTTCTCAGGATCGGAGAAATTGCAGATTTAGAAAGATTCATAAGGGTCATGTAGTCCAACCCTTATCCTCATCTACCCACATGAAATCAAGCAAATAAGTTCAGGAGGAATTTTATTAAAACAGAACTTGTTGCTAATCAGAGCTAATATATCTTTCCAGATATATATACTAATATATATCTAATATATATTGTAAATCAGGAAAAACAGCTTATTATCAATGACTGTGAATGTGACTTACAGACTGAGTCAAACTTGCTGGAAAAAAAACAAAAAACCCCTTATTTTAAAGCAAGGATTTGTTAAGTACTTACCCTATGCTAAGTGCTTTATATTGGGTTGTCAGAAAAGTCAGGACATATTTTTTCTATGTTTTTTGTTGCAAAAATGCATCATGACTTTTCCGACAACCCAATATAATAGGAATTATGTTATTTGATCCTATTAAAGTTGATGTTTAGACAGATAAAGAAATTTAGAGATATTAAGTTACCTAATTGAGATCACACAGCTATTACCCAAATTCAAAACCAGGTCTGTCTAAGTCCAAGGCAGCAACAGAAACACCATACGAACATCTGGAGTCATGGTTCAGATGTGCTCAGAAAGAGTCTGCAATCATCAAACGACTCATACATTAGCTGAAGGACTTTTAGAGTCACAAATTGTGTTTGAAATCCTACCTCTATCACATGTAGGATCTTGGACAAAAATCGGAGCCTCTCTCTGCCTCTGTGACCTATAAAATGGGAAAAATAAAATCTCATAGAGTGTTTATTAAGATTATATGTAAAGCACCAAATGGTATAGTATCTGACAAATGCTTGCCATTCCAAAACAAAAAAAAAAGGTAATTCTTTACTAGATATACACTAATATCAAAGAGCACCAGATTCATTTTTGGCCAGTGGAATTCAGAACTGGCACATCTCAGATTCATTCAGTTCAGTCTGACATATTGTGACTATTGTGTGGGATATGCACAAGTGTACATGTTTATCATAGTTAAACATAGCGAGAACATCCATAGCAAGAAAAAGCAACGAGTAAGTCCCTGCGTCTTAGTCCCATTAAAACTTCCAGGTAGTGTAGAGACAGATCAGGTAGTGTAGAGATAGATACTATGGGGCAGACATTTTGAATCCATTCCAATATTCTAATGTTCAATAGCTAAATCTGAGATCCACATAAATAAAAGGATTTGAACCAAAAATCATGTTGGAAGTCACTACTAGTTCCAGAAAATAATTCAACATAGATGGGACGTGTGGAAGAATGGGAAGACCATATGCCTGAAAAAATACCCTGAAGCATTTTTTCAACCGTGGCACAAAATTTCAAGTAGCCACAATAACCATGCAATCTGTTTTCTTCCATAAGTCTTTGCTCAAATACAAACGTAACCCTCACCCACCCTAACCATTCTGTTGAAATGACTCCCTTGCCCCAGCTCTGTCCATTCCCCTTCCTCCACTTTATTTTTCGTGGTACTTAGCATTGGTTAATATATTGCACAGTTTACTTATTTTTGTGTTTATTGACCAGTTCTTCACATAGGGGTGAGTTTCAAGAGGGCATGAATTTTTGTCTCTTGCTCGCCGATGGATTCCCATCACTAGAACAACCTCAGGCATGTAGTAAGGGCTCAGTAATGTTTGTCGAATGAATTAATAAATGAAAGATCTCCAAAACTAGGAGACCGGGTTAGTAAATTAGGGTATGATATTTTATTCTACTTCTTTAAAGTGGTCATGAAATTTAGAAAGCAAATGTGAAAATCTCTAGACTATGCCATTAAGGGAATAAAAAAACAGTATTTAAATTCAGACGTATACTTAAGAAGGGAACTAGGTAAAACTATGTGCCAGGAAGAAAAAAAAAAAGATCGAAAGGGAATGCAAAAAGGGAGTTGGCTTTATGCTTTATGTTTTCTATTTTTAAAAAAATATTTTGTTTCATTTGAGAACTACAGCAAGGTATAGAGGAAGGAAAGTACGTGTGAGAGGGTGAGAAAGAACTAAATCGTGACTGCTCTGTCTCCATGGCTGGGATGCGGTGACCTATATGCTCCTTGCCTGAATCCCTGGCTTCTTTGTCTAAAATAGAAATGAAACTTTTTAGCCAAGGAGCATATCAGGGCTCAGTTTTCCTCTGATTTCCTGAAACATGATCTTCAGAATTGGCAAGTTAAGAAACTGAGCACTAGCTAAATATTCAGTTCTGTTCACATCCCATCCGTCCTATCATTACAGAACCCCTGCATTCCCTCGTATTGTTATTCATGTCCATTTGTCTTGTTGCTGTTTTGTTTTTAAACTCTGCTTTTGTCCTGTACTCTGTGCCACCAGCTTCCCACTCCTATCTTTGTCCCAGTCTCATGCATTGTTTACTGCCCTCGGTCCCCGGGTTGTATGTGGGTGTTTCCCTGTACAAATAAAGCTATGATGCTGAGAAAGTTCAAGGCCAGAGGACTCCAGGGCAGCTGAGGACTCCTGACCCCCTTTCCCTGCCCTTTCTGTGCCCCTTGAGCCAGGTGACCACGCCCTGTGTTCCCCATCAGCCTTTCTACCCCATCCTCGGCCATTCCCTCTCACTTCCTGCCAAGTCAGTGCCAGGATCTCTTTGCTGCATGGCTTCTGCACCTTGAATGACAGCTGTCATGAAGGGATCTTGCCTGTCCCCTTCTTGGTACAAAGACAATCACAGGTCTTTATTCCTCACACTGCAGTAAATGGATTGCTCCTCATCCTTCCATTAATGCTAGAGGACAGCTTCCTTATAATCCTAGGAGCTGTCTTGTCCCCAGAATCCTGTAATTGTACAATAAAAAAAAATATTAAAAGCCACCTAATGAAATCCCCATTCCCAACCCACAGTCAGTACGGTGCTGAATGCATGGAACGTGTTTGGGAAATGGTTGCCCTCAGTAAATACTGTAAAATCATGTATTATGTACCACTATAAGATACTTATCTTGCGCTGTTAACATTGTAAAAAAGGTTTTTAGTTACCTCTTTATTCACAGATATTTATAAAATCAAGGAATAATGATGGAGAAGGCTGTTCTTAGAAGGCAGTGAGATAAACTGGAAAGCTGATGCCAACTGGACAACAGGGTTGATATAAAGAGGAAAAGGATAAGTTACTGGTGCAAGAACAAGAAGAAATGGGCTAAAATTATGATGAAAGGATTACCTGTAAATGATAACACATTTCACTACTAAGAATTGTTAAATAATGGAAAAGTTTACAAAGGAAAGCTGAAAAATTGTGGTTCTTGAGGTTAGCAACATATCTGGTATGTTTCAGCGGGTGATTAAATTAGGTCTTCCTTGATAGAGTAGCATAGAAAAAAAGTATGTAAAATGGTTCTGTTTCCAAGGGTCTGGGAAAGGTTAGATTTTCTTTTCACTGGAAAATGTGAAATAATCATAAATAATGAGCAAGCCCCTCACCTACCTGGAAATCACTAACATAGATGCCTTCACAATACACCAGAGATTATGAGAACTGTGTTCATGGTGCTTTTTGACAGGATATCTAATTCTTTTTAATGATAATTTTTAATTGTTGTATTTTTGGTTTTTTTCAGGCTTGTAAATTTTATAGTTCCCAGTGGTACGTGGTAAACTACAAATATGAACAGTATTCTGGAGACATTCGTCAGTTACCCCGGTAAGAACCTGTTATGAGTACTCCTTGGGTTTTCCCATATATAAAATATGTTACTTGTTTAAGATATGTCACTGTTTATGAATAAATGTACAGTCATCTAGTGTCGGAGAATATTTTACAATATTTAAAAATAAGACTCATGATAGAACATTTTGTACAGTGTTTGTACAGTGATAGAATTGGGAGTGAAATATAAATGTACTCTCATTTAATTTTGGAACAAAGTTTAAAGTGTCATTATATTGTTCTTTTGTGAGCTATCCTTTCACTAGCAGATACAAGAGGATTAGAAAAGTACAGTTGGGCTCAAAATTTTTTCTGACAATATTCTGTGCCTCATGTTCTGATTTGACTGGTTTCATGTATTTTCATGCTGGGATATCAAAAGTCACGAATATACCCAACCACCACAGAAGTGTTATATGTCTAAAAAAAGCCAAAAGGGAAAAATAAACACCTAATTATTTTTTCTGGACTCTGAGGAAATAAGCCATCAGGAGAAAGTGACTGTTCTGTACCTACTCAAACATCACCACCACAGAGCAGCTCACCTGACTGATGCCTGAACTAAAGTAGTCACTTATTCAGTATCTGTGTCCCCCCACTAAAGTAAAAATCCCCAAAGGGCAGGGACTTTCCCTTGCAGAATCCCCTGCAGGCCTAAGAGACTGCCTAGCTCATAATAGGTGTACAATCATTACTTATTAGAAAAGTAAACTGAGTGAATGGCAAATTTTAAAATGTTAATATTCCTGGAGATTGGAGTTGCTCAAATTCAAGGAATTGAGATGGACTGGAATCTCTCAACACATTGGTTCATCAAACTAAAATGATGCAAATAATCCAGAAAAACACTTAAGACAATCAAAAGTTACGTTTTCATTAACACTTTGTTCTCATGGAGCACTGAGATGGTACACATTACATCTAACTTTTTAATGGTCACGTGGTTCAGATTTGCACCCCACTTTCTAAGATTCCCCATGCATGCCCCCAGAAACATCTTTTCCAGATTCACATATTTGGACATGCTGCTCTCAACTTCTGAATGCAGAGTTTGAAGGAGGAATTATGGAATGGCTCTGAGAAGATGGCATTTGAGCTCAGATCTGAAGGAACAGTACTCCCCACACTGTGACCTCGGGAAAAGGTTCCCAGAGGGAAGGGCATGGGCAAAGGCCCTGAGGTGGGAACCAGCATGGCCACTTATGCAGGATGAAGATCAGGGAGGCTGGAACTGAAAGGGAGGAATGAGATGAAACCATGGAAACCTAAGCAGGAGACTTTGTAGGCTCTGGAAAGGAGTTGGGGTTTCTTCTCTTTGCAACAGAAGCCTTTGGAAATTTTAACCAGGAGCATGACATGGCCTGGTTTACCTCTTTAAAAGATCACTTGGTCTACTCTATGGAGAAAGAGATGGTAGTGGCGAGAATAGGGGAAAGAGAGAGAGAGAGAGAGAGAGCGAAGGAGGCCATATCCTTTGGAATTGCATTACTGTGAAAATCCAATGTTCTGCCAAAAGAACAAATCTTTTTTTCAAAACAGTGAACATTAACCTTTACCAAATCTCTGAAGATTGCGTTAGATTCAAGTCAGTCCTAATAGATAACCTCCTGTAACTTCATGTTGGGAAGGCCCCCTTACACCCTAGGCTTTCGTGAGTAATTACTACATTCAGAATGTCTGAGTGTTAGCCACACATTTTTCATAGGCGCAATTGAAAAGCAAAGTGTTGTTTTTTTGGTTTTTTTTAATATCAAGACTTCCTCTTTCTCAAAATAGTTTTGAGAAGTGGTTACAATTTGGAAGCTGTGTCCAAGCAGCGGGAAGTCTGTATATGAAGTGAGAGAGTGTAGAAAGCAGCACTTAGCTACCCTTTCACATAAAAGCCCTTCCACTCTCATTAGGGCTATTGAAATCTTTAGTAGCTTTATCCTCAAGTACTGTTTTTCATTTTTTTACCTTCATGATGCCATAAAGAAAAAGAAATAAATAAAAGATTTAGCATTCATGGTATATTTTCCTCTATTAAAATGTTAGCGAAAGCATCTCAAGTAAAAACAGGGTCTAAATATCATTGTTGAATTGGAATTATCATAGAACATAAGAAAAAAAATCTCATGAAAAGAAATACAAAAGTAACTGAAGTATTACTGAGAATCTCCTGTACTTTAACTAAAGGGAGTTACTTTAATTAAAGGAAGTGGGAGTTGATACCAAGAAGAGGAAGAATAAGACTGCCACAAAGTAAGAAACTTTAATGAACCATATATATATATATATATATATATATATATATATATATATTCAAAATGAAAGTCAGAAGTTCTAGAATGTAATCTTCACATATTCCCTGAAATAATGAAGACTGTAACACTAATTAGCAAAATTATTTTTTAAACGCTTTATACAAAGCTAAGCACTCCCCAGTAAAGACTACACATATTTAGGTCAGTAATGGAAACAGATAATTTACTTGGACCTTCTGAAGCTATTAAAAGTAAATCATTTTCATACCTCCTGGATTAGAAGAATTCTCCTATGTCTGCTACCAATTTGAATAGATCATTTCTTTTTATGGGTTGCTGAGGTTGCAAAATGAAAACTTGCAATTATGAAAAAGTGAAAAAAGGGGTGTGTGTTTATCCCCATCATTTTTATTCTTTAAACTTAAAATTGTGTTATTATTGACTCTTCAGAGCCTCACTTTTTAAAGCATCTTGTTATAGGAAGATACTGGAGAAAGACATTATTTCAGGTTAAGTGTAAAATGTAAAACCTTCACACATTAAGAATAAAAATCAGCACTGAACTTAGGGTTCCAAGCATGGCATAAAAATATATGATGCCAAAGAAGCCAAGAATATATAAATGATGACACATTGGAAAAAGGACAGTCTCTCCTACAAATGGTGTCGGGAAAACTGGGCAGCCATGTGCAAAAAAAAAATAGAAAAGAAAGAAAAGAAAAAAGAAACTAGACCACTTTCTTACACCATACAAAAAAAATTAATTCTAAATGGATTAAAGACTTGAATGTAAGACATGAAACAATAAGACTCCTAGAAGAAATCATAGAAGGTAATTCCTCGACATTGCTCTTGGCAATGATTTTGTTTGTGCTTTTTTTGGGGGTTTGACACCAAAAACAAAAGCAACAAAAGCAAAAGTAAACAAGTGGGATGACATCAAACTCAAAGGCTTCTGCACAACAAAGGAAACTATCAACACAGTGAAAAGGCGCCCTACAAATGGGAGAAAATATTTGCAAATCATATATATGATAAGGATTATTATCCAAAATATACAAAGAACTCATATAGCTCAATAGTAAATCACAAACAATCCAATTAAAACATGGAAAAAGGATCTAAATAGACTTTTTTTTTCAAAAAAGGTCATAAAGATAGCCAACAGATACATGAAAAGACGCTCAACTGATCAACAAGTAAAGGAAAATCAAAACCACAATCAACTATCACCTCACACATGTTAGAATGGCTATTATCAAAAAGACAAGAAATAACAAGTGTTGGTGAGAATGTGGAGAAAAGGAAACCCTGTGCACTGTTGGTGGGAATGTAAATTGGTACAGTCACTCTAGAAACCAGTATGGAAGTTCCTCAAAAGAATTAAAAATAGAACTACCACATCATCCAACAATTCCATTTGTGGGTGTTTATCTGAAGAAAATGAAAACATCTATTCAAAAACATATAGGTACACCCCCTTTTCACTGCAGCATCATTTACAAAAGCCAAGATATGAAAACAGTCCAAGTGTCTACTGATTGATGAATGGATAAAGACAATGTGCATATATATATATATATATATATATATATATATATANACACACATTATATACACACACACACACACACACACACACACACACACACACACAGAGGGTGCCAAAAAAATGTATACACATTTTAAGCAAGGAGAAAACTGTATTAATTGCAACACTCAATATATACCGATAACAAAAGATGGATACAAGTCACGTTTGACTTCTGCAATTACAAGAGGTGCTCAAGGTGGTTCCCATCAGTGTCCAGACACTTCTGATTATGGCGAACTACTGCTTGAGCAATGGTGACCTAAGTGTCCACTTGTGTACATTTTTTGTATACGGTATGTATGGGATACTCACACACACAATAGAATACTCTTCAGTCGTAAAAAAGAATGAAATCTTGCCTTTGGTGACAACATGGATGGACCTTGAGGGCATTATGCTAAGTGAAATAAGTCAGAGAAAGACAAATACCATATGATCTCACTTATATGTGGAATTTAAAACAAACAAATAAAAAACAAGCTCATAAATACAGAGAACAGATTGATGGTTGTCGGAAGCAGGAGGTGGGAGGAAGGCAAAAGGTGTAAAGGCACAAACTCACAGTTATAAAGCGGGTCCTGGGGCACGGTGACTATAGCTAACAATAGAGCATTGCCTATTTGAAAGTTTCTAAGAGAGTAGATCTTAAAAGTCCTCATCAGAAGAAAAAAGATTTTTTGTAACTATGTAAGGTGATGGACATTAACTAGACTAATTGTGGTAATCACTTTGCAAATATAGAAAATATATACAAATACAGAATCATTATGTTGTACACCTGAAATCAATATAATGTCATCTATCAATTATGCCTCAATTTAGAAAATAAACATGAAACAAAAAATCTATATGATGCCACTGAATTCATTAATCTGCAGGGTAAAATACAAAGATATACAACTTACTCAAATTGTTACTATAGGTGGTTTAATGAAAAAGGAAGAAAATTTCATAGAATATATTTTATGACTGAAGAGCAAATAAAATATAACCAGATTGGTTGGGCTGAATTAGAACAGATTATTTTTTTTAAATAAAAAAGCATTTCCTAAGTGTCGTTGATAGTGAGCCAGAATGTGCTAGGTGCCATATGTACATCTCATTTAACACACATAATCCCACAGAGTAAGAACTGTTATGGTTAGTAACTTACCTCTAACCTCACAGCTATAATTGATGGGGCACTCTGGTATCCATACACCTTATATGGACGATGGAGGCAATTTGGGTGTAGAAAGGAGAAATGAGACTACCTAGAAATGACCCATAATGTTGGGTTCAAACACCAGAGGGTAAGGTCCCTGCTGAGCCCTTTATTTTAGAATCCCCAAGACCCACACAACTTCTGGGGAAAGGATGTTAAAGTCAGAAGCCAGAGGTACTTACCTTTTAATGATCTGTGAAAGGGAGAATAGCCATTGCTTAATGGCCCTGTAGGCCTAAGACTGAGTGGTGTTGATAGCTACTTAAAGGTAAAGAGGTGGTGCCCTGTGGGTCAGTGGGAACCAGCCTGACTGGAAAAGAAGAGCTTTCAGCGATGGTCGACGCACTGTCTGCCATCTTGCCCTGAGCCTTTTCTGACATGGCTGACCCCACCTCTGTTGCTGTCCCTCCCTGTTGTGGCCCAGCTCCACAGCCTTCCACTCCTGGAAACTCCACCTTGGTCCCTCCTCAGGACAGGTACTCTCGCCATTCGCTGTGCCAACATGATCTTCCCCTAGATCATCACATGGCTGGCGTCTTCTTACACTCAACTGAAATGGCTGGCCACCCATGACCACCCTTTCTAAATCTGGCCTCTGCCACCCCTACCTGGATCGCTCTTTTCTCTTGCCCTCTTTCATTTTCTTCTCAACCATTTTTACCCAGGGAAAATACCTTGTTTATTTATGCTTAATTATCTACTCTCTCCTTCCTTGGAATGCAAGCTTCCTCAGTTTGGGGATTTATTCTCTGATGGGTGGTTGGCATTACTGAAGCTCTGCTATGTGACAGGTACTATCTGGAAACTGGATCATTTAGTGGCAAAGAAGAATGACCTCTAAGAATTAAGAGAGCTCTCAACTCACACTTCATTTGATCAAGCAATCTCAAAATTAAGAAAAGCCAGCAATGAAAGGCATTGCCTACATTTACCCATTTCCCCCTCCTCAGGACCTGAATTGACACTCAATGGTCTGCACTTTTTTTTTTTTTTAATGAGTGTAAGGTTAGCATGGTTATGGTTAGAAACTAACAGAGTTGGCTGAGTTTTGCTATCTGGAATGCCATCAACACAGGAAACAATTTGAGATGGGAATGCTGAATGTGCCACTGGACTCTTTTCTCTCAATAGTCAGATTCTGAGGTTGCTTTCACATGATATAAATCATCTTAAAGAAAACAAGCATTTTATGCAAAATCTACATGTATTTTTCTAGCTAGGTATCAAGGAACGTCTAAACCTTAAATGGTAATCATGGTTTCCATTTAACCCTGTTAGGAGATCAAATCAAACCAAAGAAAGTTTGTTTCTGTCTTAGTTTCCCATTTATAGAGCTAGGTGTATACTTGTGCTCCCCTGTGCTGGTTGGTGATGTTATGACATAGAGAAGTTTCTGTGCTACCATGGAAATGCACAAAGTGCAATTGCCACTGAGTCACATTGGTGCAGCCTTTTGGGAAACCACAGTTAGGGGAGCAGCGTGGCCTCGTGGCCAGAGCACAGGCTGAATCTCTGGAACACAGTTCTTCAAATGACAGCCCTGTGCCCTTGGGCGTGTGATACAGAGGTGGGATAGAAGGGCAATGAAAACATCACTATTTCATATTCCACTTCAAAATATGAAAGAAGGAAAATATAAACCTCCAATCCTTAAAAATTGTCCTGCTTGCCTTCAGCTCATTCAAGACGACATGCATAAATCTGTATAAATAGTAACGCCATCATCTGAAGTAGAGATTTTTCTACTGGAGTAAGATGTAATGGTGTAGAGGAAGGTTAATAAACCCTCCAAAGGAAGTGGGTCCTTCACAAATTACATTATTTTATTAAAAAACACAATAGTGATTACTCAGGGAATAGCTGAAAATGAAGGCCATGCCTCAAAGGACAAATCAGAACCTTTTATTCCTTTTTCTTTTTAATATCAGAGCAGAATACAAACCAGAGAAACTTCCTTCACATTCCTTTGAGGTTGACCATGAAGATGCTGATAAGGATGAAGTAAGTAAATTGTTGAAAGTGAAATGTTTAAAACATGAGGATAATTAGTTCCTGTCTTCCACTCGAGTGTTTCGCATTCTGACCACTATTTCATCAAGCTGCAGTAGCGCTTTGTGCGAGGGCTTTTAGTCAAAATGAATCAAGTTTGTTTTGAAATTGAACATGATTGTTTGAGATGAGTCAAAGAGAGAGACGGAAGGCTCATTTTTAAGTGCACTGTCTGAGATCTGGGATTCACAAAAGATTGCAGTCATGCTAATGATGCCTTTTGCACAGGATACCACTTCCCACTCGTCTTCCAAGGGTGGTGGGGGACCAGGAGGAACAGGAGTTTTCAAGTCTGGCTGGCTCTACAAGGGGAATTTCAACAGCACCGTGAACAATACGATTACTGTTCGGGTAAGGAGACATCAAGACTCATCTTTGTTTCTGCCACCTTTCTTGACACCTCCTCCTTCGGTCATAGCACAAGGGAGAGTTATTTGCATTGAGTTTATGTTTTGTGTCATATTTTATTTATGAAAAAGGAGGGTGCTCTTCTCTAAGACAGTGCCCTAGAAATGTCACCCTCCTGGAGGAATTAGAAAAATTCTAGCTTACGTGAGTAATAAATAGCACACTGCAATTTGAACTACCTCCTTATATCTTTTCCTTTATGTAGTCATTCAAAAAACGCTACTTCCAGCTGACTCAGTTGCCAGATAACTCCTACATCATGAATTTTTACAAAGATGAAAAAATATCCAAAGAACCCAAAGGCTGCATCTTTTTGGATTCCTGTACAGGCGTGGTACAGGTGAGTAGAAATCCTTTTCCCCCACTTGGGTTTTTTCATCAAAGAGTATGTCCATCCAATTACCAGTCATTGGTTCCACAAATATTTATATCTGCTATGAGCCAAGAACCGTTCTGGACTCTAGGGATTCCGTAGAGGACAAAGAAGTCTTGATCCCTGCTTCCACAAAACTTACTTTCAATAAAGCAAGAAACACAAAAAAAATCAGCAAAGGAAGAAATAAGCAGGATGGAATCAGTTGGTGAACTCTGAAAAAAGAAAATAAACAGGGTTACAGGAGGGAGAGGGAAAAGGGGAGAGAGGAGGGGGGAGAGAGAGAGAGATGAATGGTAAGGTTAGAAAGGAATATTAATGCTCAAGGAGTGAGAAATGAATTTTTGAAGTGAAAGTATTTGATGTAGAGACTAAAGAATGAGCAGCAAGTGCAAAGGTCCTGAGGCGAGAGGAGGTCTGGTGTATTCAAGGAGAAGAGGAAAAGGACCACTGTAGGGCTGCAGTGTGCAGAACCACTGAGCTAAAGAATTCAGTAAGATCATAGGTAAATCATGTAGCGCAAAGTCTGCACTATATAAATGTCATCTTTATGACTAGGTATAAGATAGTAAACTAAAAATGGCCATATACATCCGTTTCCTTCTAAGGAGAAGTTTTCTTCAGAGACAACAAGGGCTACATTGATGCCCAAGCGTTTAATAATCATTCTGTAGGCCTCATTTGGACATCTTACTTTCGAAACAGTTATTCTTTCTACTCTGATGAAATTACTATCTTTATTCCCCATCCCCCCAATGTAAGAATTGAAGCAATCAAATGGTTTAGCAACCTTACCGCAAATTTCACATTTAGATGCTGGCTCTTTCCAGTTGAGGACACCATTTCTGGTCACAGACCAGTAGGAGCAGTCTCATCTCTTCCCACCGAGGCACAGGCATTCACATAGCTTGCTGTGTAGCTGAGATTACATCTTGGATTAATACCAGGGGCACATGGATATATGGAAGCAAAATGGAGTTCTCTCCAGTCACTTAAGTCTAACCTATTTCTGGATGGTTCATCTGTTGAAATCTGGAATTCCTCCAGAAAGTAGTAATACTGAACTTCAAAAGGAAAGAATGATTTGTTGCTGAGGACTCCACTAGAAATGAAAGATAATTGCATGTTAACACAGATGGCAACTTTCTATAAGGAAAGGAGAATAAGGATCCTAATGGAGGGTGGAGATAGTTTTCTATTATTGGTTTAAAAAAGATGGTTTGGCTTTAGAAGTATGAAGTGTTTCTTTAGCAGTAGGTTAAAGATTACGTTTCTAGGTTAATAACTGTGTTTTCTAGACATTGAGCTGAAAAATTTAGATATTTTATTTTCCATTTGTATTTCCAAGCTAGCTCTAGCAAATGAGTCATCACCCTGTAGGAAGTAGCATTGTAGCCCTTGTTGTATAGTAAGTTTGTAGAGATACAGATTAATATTCAGTTTCCTCTTCTGAATAGTATGTAACTAACTCTGTTCTATATGCATCTGACCTTGTATTCTAGGAACCTCTTAGATAATGTTTCATTCTCTCCCTAAGCAGTGCCTTGGAAAGTGGGTGTCTTCTAGGGGTCCTGGTCAGTTTTCAAATCCTAGTTTCACCATTTACTATCTGAGTGCTTTGAGTAAATTACACAAGCTCTTTGATCTCAGGTTCCTCATCTGTAAAACTACAATAAATGTGCTAACATGCGAAAAGGATCTGGGAGATAGTGTGTCGTCAGCCATGCACCCCCAGGCTTTCCATTAATTACAAAGGGCACAACTTTGGAAGATGGACACTCCATTGTGGAGAAGACTTCCTAGAAAATCTTAATTCGCCTTCCTGAAATTTCTACCTAAATGTGCTTATTTATTTATTTATTTATTCATTCATTCATTCAACAAACTTACTCAGCGCCTGTGACATGTGAGGAACTGTGCTTAGGTATTAGGAATTCCCTGCTGAAGCCACCACCAGAGAGAGACAGGGGCTCATATCTAACAGTCACACAGCGTTGCAAGAGCTATAATGAAGGTGTAAATGGCACTCATGGAATGTTCCAGGAGCACAGAACAGTGTTGAACTCTTCCGGTTAGGTTGAAAGGCTGCATAGTAAATAGGAGCCTGTAGGTAGAATTCCCCAAGGTAGATTTTGCACATTAAAGCACAATTGAATAATCCTATTTCATCTCCCAATAGATAGCCATTCAACTATCTGAGAACATTGATAAACTCTTTTCAAGAGCTCAGCTCTGTATCCCTTAATTTATATTCCTCTTTACCAAGAACTTGTTACCTTTTGTAAAGAGAGGGGCCTCCAGCTTCTTGAGATCACTTTGGGAAGATAGACTTCTGGGCCACGTGTCCCCTTATGTCTGAACCCCAGTTCTTACACATGTGCTTACAGCAATTTCTGACCTACAAGCTTTGCATCTGGAAAGAATATTCTGAATGAGGTAGTGCAAGTTTAGTTGTTGCTATAGCAAAGCCCTCAGGCACAAAATGTGCCTACAGATGAAACAGTACACACAAAAGCACAGAACAAATGAATAATCGGATGAGTCAGCCTATTTTGTCAAGAATCATTGTCAATTTCTCTTGAATAAAACAGCAAAGAGGAACAAAGACAGATAGTGCTGCCTACCATCCAGCATCCTTAGAGAGTTCAAGGTCATAATGCTCTTTTGTGAACAAGTGATTCAGACCTAATCTATATCATTGTGTTTTCCTAAGAATAATCCTTGGAATTCTTAGAAATATATTTTAAGGGTGACCTCAAGTTGAAAGAAACTCCTTCCCAGATTTCTCAGAGACTTTAGGTAATATCAATGATTACAAATTTCCTGAATCTTGGTAAAATAAAGACCTAACAGTACTTTTCTACTTTTTTTGTAATAACAGCAGTAAATCTGTTTCATACCCCTGCATTTCTAACCTGGAGAACTTCCGGTGTTTGCTTCTGTAGTTTTGATCTGAAACAAAGGCCTGTGTTATCATATCTAGTACCATCAGAGTCTTATCATTTATTCATTAATCATTGCTCCATCCATCCATCCATCCATCCATCCATCCATCCATCCATCTATCCATCCATCCACTCCAGGTCCTACCACTATAAAGAGAATGAACAGCCCAGGTATTCCACCCCCCTAGAATCCCTATCTCAACAGTGATAATAACTGATGTCACTTTATAGAGGCTTAAATGGATGACTGGGGTGCCGAACACTGTTTATTTTCTGCGAGGTGCTGGATCTACCCCCTTGTGGATATGGGTTCAAGTCAGTGGCCTCATGTGCTTAACCAAAGGCTAGACTCAGATGCTTCTGCAGCTCAGGCAGTCCACTATCAGAGGGAAGTAGAGCCAGACGTGCGACAGCAGGCAACAGCCTGGACTGTGTTGAACTGGGGTGCACATGCCACACACAAAGGCAGTGAAATTGGGAGGAAAAAAAGTGAACCTGCCACGGAAAACAAACCTAAAAGCCAAATATGACCTGTAAACCTCCCATTAGCAAACTCTGGCTCTAAAGATCTCACCTCCCATAACAATAAAAACCAGAATGACACTTGTAATTTTCTTCATCTAATGTATTAATTGACAACAGTCAGTGGAACATGCATTATTATTGTCCCAATTTATTAAAACCAAACTCAGAGAGATAGATTCGCTTTCCCAAGTCCCAGAGCTAATGAAGGGCAACATTAGATTTGGGGCAGAAGAACGTCCACAATTACAGAAAGATGCCCATGGAGATGCTGTGGTTCTTATACATCATACCTATAGGCACACATGCATTTATTCCACGGAAGCCACATGGGCAGAGGAAACACCACAAAGATTTAGATTTAGGCTTTATTTCAGCTAATATATATTGAAATTTTTTCTATATGCAAAGCATTGTGGGAAAGCCAAATATGAATTAGATGTGTCTCCTGTCTTCAAAGAGCTTCCAGCCTGTGGGAGGATGCCCAGAAAAAAAAAAAAAAACAGAGCAAATAGAGACATGCAAATAAAATGTGAGTGGCACATCTCAAACAATAGGTCCTGATAATATATGCAAGAATGAAGTTATATTTATCACTGCATGATGGTGTGTTATATTATACATATTACATACAAGTATACTATATTTCTACTTATTTGTTTACTGACACTCCATTATACAAGAATGTAAGTTCAGTGAGGGCAAGCACTTACTTTGATTTTTTTTAATTAAAAAAAAAACTGTGTACCTGGCACATAGAAGATGCCCAATAAATTTTTGTTGAATCAATGAACAAATAAACATACATAGAATGGAAAGGATTGCGTGGATGGTCACCACCAGTGCCGGTAACCTGGATATGATGCTGTGTGTTTCCTTTTAAAACTCTTCCTTTGTTTCTGCAAAATTCTGTAAAAGATGCTTGCACCATAATGGCTAGGATGGAATATTTTGGTTGGGTAACTCCCTTTGACATTCCGTCCTCCATGGGCTTTAGTGGCTTCATTGGAATATCCATTTTGGAACTTTTCGAGATGAATATTGTGGAAACAGACCAGTGTGCTACAACTCATTAAACACATCAGATGGCATCAGGACATAGTCACAGTTTCCTATTATTTACGAAGCCATGTAGATGGATTGTGGTGAGCCTGAATGAACAAAATTGTTGCAGTGGCCAAAAAGGACACTAGTTTCAGGGAAATAGAGGAAAATTGGGGAAGTGAAAAGAAGAATGTGATTACTTTCTGATTAGCATTTTAATGACTTAATTGCAATACAGGATTATTAATGTACCATTGATTTGCTATTTCTATCCTTTCCTTTTTGCTAGTTTATGTGCCAAATGATATGTAATCTCGGAGATTACAGTGAGATAGAAAAACTATTTAGGCATCTTAATCTTCCCAAACATGAGTTTTTCTACACTGCAAGTAGCTCTATTTCTCTCCAAATAGAAAAAGATAATTTGTTTTTTGAGAAGTTGTCAATAGAATATTTATTTCATTTATAAATACCATTTTGTGAGAAACAAGAGCTTTTATACTTCACTCACATTTTTAAAATATATTTTAATAATATTATTGAAGTTGGCAACAATATGGAATGCATTTGAAGTACAGAATGTAATTTACAAAATCAAGTTTTATTTATATTTTGTAATGTTTTCTTTTTAAAATGTTATTAGTTCCTCGGCATCTGTGTTTGAAAGCAGGTTGCCACTAGTTCCACTTTTAACTTAGATGCAATATAAGCATTTTACATCTCCCAGTCCGCGTTATTTACAACATGAAAATAGTCAAGCAGATTCTTTGTTTGTTTTCAAGATTCGCTTGCATCTGCTACCCTCAGATACTTAACAATATCCAAGCTAAAGGGAGGCCCTGAACTTGGGGCATTTCTAGTTCTTTCTTTTCTGTCTATTTCTGTTCCTACAGGTTTTTTTTTTAAGGAAACCTGTCTCTCTTCTTTTATACTTGCTATCAGCCAACTTGTCTTTGCCCTCAGACACTCTGTGTCAGTCAGTGAGGTCACAGGCGGCTTTATGGGCCTCCTTTGTCAGAATCCCCAGGAAGTAGGTGTGAGGATGTATGGAGGGAGTCTGCCCGCCTCTCCTGGGGAGAGTGTGGCTTCCAAGAACCTGCCTAGATGTTTGCTTTGCACACAAATGACTGGGACCACTACCTTTCTGGAGACCTCCACTCTGTTTACACAGCAGCCGGAAATGATCTCAGAATGCATCCCTGGCCTGTTACTAGCCCAAGCCATCCGGTTCTGTGCTCTCGTGGAACACAGAAGGTTCTGTGAGCACAGCTGTATTTTCTTTCATATTGCAATAACAATCCTGTTCTCAAAGAGAATTTTTATACCTCTTCTTCAATATATTCATACAAAATTGCAGTACACATACCTCCTGCTTTCAGACATAATATTAATCTATGTCATTAATATGTTAACACCTGTCTGCCCTGGTCTGCCAGGGCAGAGATTGTGTCTGTTTTCCCATGCACGAAGTGCAAACACAATAGATACCTCTCTCTGAATGAATGTTATCACAGTACTGAGCACTGAGGATAACTAGGCAGCTCCTGCCCTTATCAGACTCATGGACTAATAGAAGAGCCAGCCTGCAAGTGAGTGATGACAAGGAAGGAAAAAATAATACTTGGCAATAATACAGAAGTATGGACAAGAGTAGAGTTTGTCCATGGAAGACTCTAGAAACTGCCCTGGGAGCTATAAAGTTTCAGAGTTAGAATCACAGTTAGCTTTTTTGCTAATTCTTTCTCCTTCAATTTCCAAATTTTACTATTTCTTGAAGCTTATGAGTATAAATTGCCCCACTCTCTACTCTCAGCACTTAGAGAATTCATGACCTCACAAGCCATGGCTACCCCTTTGGTGTGTGATTGTGTCAGGAAGGTGGCAAGGGAGAAGGGCATTCATTGAGCATCTTTGTGCCAGGGCCATTTCAGGGGGTGTTAAAGTATAAAGGGGTTAGTTCCCTTTTCTGCCACTTGCTACGCATGTAATCCCAAGCATGTTTTAATTTACAAGGTGTGATCGAATAATATGGTGAATGTTTATATAAAAATATATATTACAATAAAAGACACATTGCCATCAATCCCCCTCAAAACACTCGCCCTCGCTTCAAACACACTTATCCCATTATTCTAGCCACTTTCTGAAGCAGTTCTGGAAGTCCTCTTTCATGTCTTTACTTTATCCTCCATCATGACAACGCTCCGTGTCACACATTGCTTCTGGTACAGCCATTTCTGTCAAATAAAAACACTACGGTGTGTCCTCATCCACCTTATTCACCAGATATGGCACCGTGCGACTTCTGGCTCTCCCCCAAAGTCAAAATGACCATGAAAGGTAAACGTTTTGAATCGATTCAGGTCATCAAAGCAGCCACGACAGCGCAATTAAAGATAGTCATGAAAGAGAACTTCCAGAACTGCTTCAGAAAGTGGCAAGAATGATGGGATAAGTGTGTTCAAAGCGAGGGGGAGTGTTTTGAAGGTGATTAATGGCAATGTGTCTTTTACTGTAATAATTTTTTTAATTTAAACTTTTACCATATTTTTTTTATCACACCTCATATCTTCCCCAGCTTCACTGCCATCATATATTAAATGGAATGATGCAATGTGTCTCATCGGACTGTTATGAGATTTAACTGAAACAATGACTACAAAATGCTCAGCATGGTGCCTGCTACACAGATGGCAGTGTTCGGGAAGTGTCACACTTGTAGTCGTGCTCATGGTGTTGAGAAAGCTGAAAGGAAGGAGCTATTTTGGAACAGTCTCTGAAGGCATCCCAAAGAAAGAAGACATTGCTAAGAGGATATTAAAAATTACTATTTCTTGCCACCAAGAATAGCAACCCTATTCTCAAAAAGAATTTTATACTTTCATATTTAGCCACAATCTGACATGATAGTAACACTCTCATCTTCTGGTTCTTCTATTTGTATTTTACTTATGCAAAGTTGAGTTATCTTAAGTGCATAGGCTTTGCTTTAGTACAGTGTCGGGGCTCCAAAGGCTTTAGAACAATGTGGGTAAGAGCTGAATGCCTACATTAGAATTACCTGGGTGTAAATTAAACATGTAATCTATTCAGTGATTCTTACAACCGCCCCACGTTCTCTTAACACATTAGCTTGTATCATTGGGGGAAAGTTTCCAGTTTGAATGTATGTTTTTGAAAGGAAGACTTTTTTTTTTTTTTTTTTTTTTTGCTAAGCCATCCTGCCACCTGTTGGCAGCTCATCGGCAGCTCAGCTCAAGCACAGCGCCTCTGGCTCATGTGGGAATTGAACCAGCGGCCCTGCTGCTCAGAGCTTGCGCCCCAAAGCCAACTCCCAACCTACTGAGCCACTGGGCTTACCCTTGAATTTATGTTTTTAATCTCATGGAAGGAATATATAAAACTGACATAATAGTTTGCTCTTGGTTCCCTCTACTTTAAATGTATTTCTCCCATCTTTAAACAGCCTACTCCTTTTTTTACAGATTTCAGCTTAGATGTTCCTTCTGTGAGAAGTCAATCTAAAGTAGCTACTCAATAGCATCAGCCCATTTTAAGTCTCTGCACACAGAGAATCTTTGTTTTTCATTAGTTTGTTCATTCCTTTAATCATTCTTTCACTCACCTCTCCCCTATGAATAACAGTTTTCCAAGAATAGGAACTTATTCTATTCCATTTGTTAAATACGACAGTTTTGAACCCACTGATATTGAACCCTTCTATGTGACAGCAAAGGATATAGTGGTGAATGCAACTGACCTGGGCCTCATGGAGGCAGCCTTGAGGGAGACATATGTTGGTCAAAACAAACAAATGAAAATGAATAGGCATATAATTCCAAATTGTTGTTATGTGCCCTGGAGGACCAGAACCTTGTCCTAGCTGGGCAATTGAGGAAGGTTTGCCTGAGCAACTACAAGTTCAGTTGCGATCTGGTGAGTGGATACGAGTCGCCTAAGTACATGAGGGGTGAACATCATGCTAACAGTGTGTGTAAGCACACACGTGGAGGCAGGGGCCAAATTTCAGGCCTTGTGACAACAACAAAGCACGTGATGCAAGCACATTCAAGGAACTAGAACAAGGCCTCATGGGTTGTCAAAATGCAAAGTAGCGATGTCAATTTCGAGAATAGTCTGGAGGTTCGTGGAAAAGTCAGAAGCAGAGAAGGGAATCACAGCACCTTGACATATGGATGTCATTTAGCGCCACTGGACCAGACGAGAGAGAAAGGAGTTGAAGGCAGAGCCAACGTTAACTTGAGAAGTCACCAAGAAAAGGGAGAGCCAGTGGACGTGATTGAAAAGTGATGGCCAACAAGGAGGAAAGAAAATCAGAACAGAATGTGGTCATGGAAACCAGAGAGAGATGAGTTTCAAGGAGGAGCAGGTGGCCCTTGTGCTAATTCTCCTGCAAGTTCAAGGAAGGTACGAAATGTTCCTTGGATAGGTTAGTCCAGCAGCATAGAGTTTTGTTAATGACCTTAAGTGCTGCCTCTGGGGTGTAATGGAGTCAAACGCCCAACTGGAGTGAGTCGTGGACAGGACAAAAGTGAGAAAGTGAAGGCAGCAACTCAAACCAACTATTGGACAACACTTAGAATATGCTCACACCATGTGCCTGAAGATGAAATTTTTGAGCCAATATGCTCATCCAATGAACAAATACCTAAATAAAATATCTCTTAGTACAAAAATCCTTGAAAGAAACCGAACCCAATGATTCATACCCATCTAAATTTTTGTCCTGTTTTGGAAGATCTCCTTTATGTTATCTACCTGTAAGGAAAGATTTTGGAACTGTGACCCATAAAAAAAAAATGACATAATCTCTAAGACTTATTATCTGATGTTTCTTTCTTGCTTTCTTTCTTTTTGTGCCACAGAATAACAGACTCAGAAAACATGCCTTTGAATTGAAAATGAATGACCTGACCTATTTTGTGCTGGCGGCGGAAGCAGAGTCCGATATGGAGGAATGGATTCATACCCTGAACCGCATCCTGCAAATCAGCCCCGAGGGGCCCCTACAGGGGCGGAGGAGCACCGAGCTCACCGATCTGGGGCTGGGTGAGAGCATGCGCGCCACCCCCCCTTCCTTTGCCAAGCGTGTGACTTGTGCGTTTGGTTCATTTAAGCTGCTGGTTACTGCGGTAGCTGTCAGGTCTAGCTCATCCATCCCTGAGCTGTTTGCTCCAGGAAATCACCCCTAAACCTTTCACTGTGAAGGACACCAGGCATAGGTATGATTTTGAGTTGACTGCCAATGAATTGAGGTTCACACCCAGCAAGTGATGTTGGAAACCATTTGTCAGCAGCATCAAAAATGTAGCCACGTCTGATGGGATGTTACCTTAGAGGGACCATTTTGTAGTTTCATAGCCTTTCACTAAATTGAATTAATGAATATTATATTCTGCAAAGACAGATAGATATTACTTCCATTTAGTTGAAAGGATCTTTCATGTATGATTTTTTACCATGCTGAGATCAGCATATAGCATATTTCCCCTTTTTAAAAAACTTGGGGGTCTAAAAACTGGGTGCATCTTATACAGTGGTTGTAGATTTTTTACTTACATTTCCTGCTGAGGACGAGGCAATATATGAAGACAGTGATTCATCATCAGACACAGATGAGGACAAGCTAATGGTTGGGAGTTTTGACAGTGATGAAGAATTGTATGAATTTTATGATGAATAAAACTCGAGTTCAATAACTTTATGTAATATATTTTTTTTCAAATTTTGGGCCCCAAAATTAAGGTGCATCTTATACATGGGGAAACATCATAGATGATAGATAGATAGATAGATAGATAGATAGATAGATAGATAGATAGATAGATATAGATAGATAGATATAGATATATACACGCGCACACACACACATACATAAAAATTCCACACATTTTACATAGCATTAAAGATTTCAATGGGATAAAAAAAAAAATTCTGCCCATCCTAATTCCCTCAAAATATTCTATTGCACTCTAGGCAAAGAGAAGGGAGCAAGAGAGGAAAGAAAGGGTGAAAAGAAGGTAGAAAAACAGGTCTATAACTACGTGGAAGACAAGTTCACCATCAGAGTCAGTCGCTTCTCCCAAAGGAAAACTATTTTAAGACTTTGCACAGCATCATGGGACCTTAGAAACCAAAGAGTCTTTAAGTTCTAGTAATCTAAGTATCATTATGCTATAAAGTGAAAGAGTCATGGCAAATGAGGTAGGAAACTTGTTGATTGTAACACAACTGCTATATATATAGGTGCTTTACATTCATGATTAACTTAGTAATATTCAACTAGGATATTAATGTTCACAGTCTTAGAGAGTTTAAGTAACTGAAGGTAGAATGTGGATTTTTTAATGCATGGCCTGAGAGTCAGAAATAGATATATATTTAAGAAAATTTTTTACTGCATTAGTGAAGTAAACCAAGACAGCCCCAAGTATAATCATAAGTATTGTAAGGGTCCAGAGTTCTTTTGGGCACAGGATGGTGACAGGGAAAGAATCCCAAAATGATCATCAGGAGGTCTGACCTCCAGACCCAGATCTAGCAATGGAGAGTGAGAACACAATGAAGGCGTTTGCTCACCAGCATCCACCCCCCATCACTCTCGAGTCTAACCCAGTTTGATATACCACAGGCTAGAGAAATGTGCGATCCCTGAGTATCACTGAATAACCTGTCTTGGTGTATCTTTTCAAGATTCACTGGATAATTCCATCACATGTGAATGCATGCCAGAGGAAACAGATTCTTCAGAGAACAGCCTACACCCAGACTTCACAAAAGTAATACAGCTGACGTTTTACTATGCAAATAAATTTATAGTATTTATTCGTTATCGCTTTCATGGAAAAGATGCTTTCTGTTAAGATTTAGACTAAGAAACACAACTCTCAAAAAATATCTCAAAGTATGTTTCTATAAGATTTGCTGAGTGTTAATGGATGATATTAAAACCATGTAAATACTAAGAGGCTACTTCTTGGCCGTGTGGGTGGGGCTGGGCTGTAAGCACCTGGATATTTAGAGCTAACATGCTTTTCTCTTTAGTACCTCACAGAAACCGAAGAAACGGTCAAAGCAACTAGAAACATGGAGAGGCTAAACCTGTTCTCAATGGATCCAGATATAGATGTAAGTCAGAATTCTTTCTAAGCAGACATGAACTTGATCCATACAATAGGGCTTCATAATTTAGAGTTACTTTCTTACGTTGGGTGTTTGTTGAGTAAAACTGTCAAAACATTTTTTAGACCTTGAAACTTCAGAAAAAGGATCTCTTGGAACCCGAGTCGGTGATCAAACCATTTGAAGAAAAAGCTGCCAAGAGAATCATGATCATTTGTAAAGCTCTCAACTTTAATCTTCAGGGATGTGTTACGGAGAATGAAAATGATCCGATAACGAACGTAAGTTTCTTTTGTGTTACTTTCTCTACCAATCAGCCAATAGCATACCACCTTAGTCTAAATCTTTTCTATTCCTGATAACTCCAGGCACTGAGTTCACACCATCTAGTGTACCGGGAATGTGATTGACAGCATTTTTCCACATTACAAAAGTACACAAATTTTGAAATGGAATTGTCAAGATACTGCCATAAATAGTTGCTATTAACTTAAAGATGAAACGTCAAAGGAACTGTGTTCTAAGATTCTATCCATGAAATCAGCATAGTGGTTCAGTGTTCCCTAAGATAATTGTTTGTATCTTCTCGGTGGTACTTGAGATGGCTTTTAAATTAATATTTTTATTTTAATATTTATATGTTTATTTTAATGTATATTAAAGAGTAATTAAAAGAAACAAATCAACCCTAACCCTGCAATTTCAGTCATTACTGTTTAACACAAGACTAAATAGTGAATCAAGTAAAATAATATTAGATAAATATTAAATAAGTAATAGTATAGATGATACATGTAAATTGCAGAAAAAAGGTGTATCACTAATATTTGGAAATCATCACGTGCTCATTGAATCAATACAAGATTCATTTTCCTACTAAGTGGGCCCTCGTGAGAGTTCTCTCTTAGTATTCTTGAGGATAATTCTGTTTTAATTATAAATGTATGTGTAGGAAGGGGGCATTTTTAAGCAGAAACATTATTAAATGTTTCTATAAAGAAGAAAATAATAACAAAAGAAATAAAAAATAGAAAATTTAAAAAAAATTTAAAAAAAGAAAACTAAAATGACATAATCCTACCATCAATAAAAAAATCAGTAATACTGTATTGGCATATTTCCACTCATTACTTTTTTATACATTCTGTTCTAATTCTTAATAAATCACGCCTCAATGGTCATTTTTAACCTCAAAGAAAAAAATCTTAGATCCAGACCCATGATACAAGCCACATTTGCTTTTAGAATGCAAAAAAAGCTTATGTTTCCTCTACCAATGGTAGACACAGTCCCATGCATGTCCCTATTAATGACAGAACAAGCTGAGCCTGGTAGCTGTGCCAGTGAGTGGCTAGCAGAAAGGATGAGCTCTTTCAAAAGATTTTAACCCCTCCTGCCCTTGGGTCTTTGGGTACCTCACCGATTCTCTGAGCGTCCTTCTCCCTGGTGTAGGAGCAGGAAAATGGTACACGCTATGGACCTCAGATTTAATGAGGATCAAGTGACAGGTGCCTCCCCGAATCACAATGCCTGACTTTCCCTTGCGAGTTCTGCCACACTGGGCAGGTGGCATCCCCTCAGTCTCCGCTTCTGTATGGAGATAATAATAACAGTAACCACTTCAAATAGTCATTGTGAGGATTAGAGGTAATGTATGGAAAGTACTTAGATCATGTTTGGTGCATACTCAGCATTCATTAACTGTTAACTGATATTCTACTATGTGGGAACTTGGTTTGAAATGTGTAAGCATCTTGCATGGAAGGTCTTGATATTGTGATTGTTACATGTGAGATTGTTGTTGACAAGGAAGTTAAAATTAAAATGTGTCACCGGTAAGAATCTTCCCCCAAATGAAGCTTCCTCATATTTTATAACTGTAATTGTATACTAGGTCTGTGAGTAAGAGTGACAATAATTGAAGTCAAGTTACTCACCCTCCAGCAAATACTTAATGCAGGGCGCTCCCGAGAGCCAGACTTGTTCTAGGTACCGGGGCATGGCAGGGGACAAGGTAAGCAAGCTCCCTGGCCTCCTGAAGAGTAGATTCCTTTTGACAAAAACAAACAACAACAACAACAACAAAGAGTAAATCCAAATAAGTAAATTAACAATGGAATTGCACATGGTGCATAGTTCTTTAAAATAATTCAGTAGAGAGAAATGTGACAAAGAGGAACTGGGAGATGGGTCACTTTAGATAGGGTGGTCATGGGAGGCCTCTCTGAGGAGGTGACATTTGAACAGAGACCGAAAGGTTGAGAAGGATAAAAAGTCAGGCCAGGGGAAAGCATCTTAGGCAGAAGAAAGGGCAAGTGTGAAGGCCCTGAGACAGGTAAGTCTTGGCAAGTTCTAGGAACTGGAAGGAGACAGCGTGGAGAAGGGCAGATCAGGATAAGGTGGGAGAAACAGTACGAGGTAAGATTAGGCAGGGTCTTAGCCAGCTGTAGTAAAGAGTTTGGATTTATTCTAAGTATGAGTGGAAGGTATTCAAGGGTTTAGAGCACTTTAAAAATGGTGTGATCTGACCTGAATTTTTAAAACATTCATCAGAAGAATGGATTGGAGGAAACAGGAGTTGACCAGGGAGAGCAGTTAGGAGGCTGCTACCACAGTTCATTGTGGGGTTTGGACTAGGAGAGAAATGAATGAGTTTGACGGAAGTTTTGTAAATTGAACTGACAGGTTTTTTTCTGATACGCTGGGTATATAGGATGAGGAGAAGGAAAATCTTAAGGACCAGCCCCTGTTCTTTTCTTTGAACATCTCTACACTTGATGGTGCCATTTACTAAGAGGACAAGTAGAGCAGACTTGGGAGATATAGGCCAAAAAAATTCTTTTATGGACACTTTAAGCCTGATAGACCCATTAGATATCCAAACAGAGATGTCCATTGAGCAGATTCAAATACAAGTTTGGAACACAAGGAATGGAGATATCACCTTGGAATTCTGGTCCAGGTAGTAACCTGAAGGAAATCATCAATTTTTATGAACATAGAGAAGGGACTGGGAACCAAATATTTAGAAGATGAGTAGAGAAATGACCAAAGAAAACGAAGAAGCAGTGGCCACTGAAGGAGAGATAAGCCAAGAATCAGTGGGTCATGCTGGCTAAAGGGAAAGGCTCAGCTGTGCAGAACGATGCCGAGAAGCTGAGTAGCATGAAGCCAGAGAGGAACCCAGTAGATGTGGCAACATGGAGGAAAGTCAGTGACAATGAAGGAGAAATCTACATGGGGTGAAAGTGTTAGGAGGAGTGATCGGGACATACTTCTACTCAGAATTTAAAAAGGAAAAACAAAACAAAACGCTGAAAGCTCTGTTCTTGAAACAATTTGGAAAGATCAGGAAAATTTAACCCAAATCATTATGTCACTTAATCATCTCATTAAATAAAAATAAATGCTTTGTTTGACCAGGTATATCCTTGAGTGTAATTTAAAAATCCAATTTAGAAACTGAAACTCAAAGATAATGGGCTTTTTTTTTTTTCCAGTGCCAGGGCCATGTGATTCCTTCCGCGTGGATTCCTTTCTTTGGGCCAAAACCCATATTCAGAAACTAAATGTTTGTATTTGGGCCAATCCCCCAAGAAGAGAACAGGCATAAGTTCATAGAGAGGCTTTAGTGTCCCTTTCATAGCTGTCAGACCAGAGGGAGAAGTTGATTTGGAGTGCTTTGTCTGTCTATATTGTTCTTAATTTATTTTATAGTTTATACAAATATTTGAAAAGCAAAGAAATTGCTTTTTAAAATGTAATTTTATTGTGCTTACAAGCGATGATATAAAAACTTAATAAAACAGCCTCCCCTTAACTCAATAGCAGTTTATGTAATGGCATTGTTATATAAAATCCTTGCATATTTATTCAATGACACTCTTTTATTAATGTAGTTATTTTTAAACTTATTCTTTTAAGTAAATGAGTATGTTTTTAAATTAATTTCAATACTTCTTCAAGTTGCTAAAGAGCTAACTACAGCATTTAATGAATGAGCTTCTAAAAAAACACCCTAAAAGAACTTTTTCATGGTGAGGAAACAATATTTGACAGCATGTAATTTTTTAGTCAGTCACTGGAAACTAAATTCAGGTGGATGGTTTTATAGTATAAAATATTTCTTTGGAAAAAAAAATCTGAGCTATTAAAACTGCTTTACAGCAGACCAACATTTAAAATTCCATGTTCTTGAATTTTTTTTTTAGGGAAAGGTACAGAATTCTAAACATAAGAAACCTATGACTTCATTTGTTAGGCTTTGAAGGTGCTTTATTAAACAAATCCTATTGAAAAGCTAGTGATTCAAAAAGGAAGATTTAACATTTAAGTTGAAAAGATGGATTGGAAGAAATAAATGAATCACCATATGAGCTTTAATTTTTTATGGATTATCAAAGTAGGTAATTTATTTCCATTCACTAAGCAGAAATGAAAATCAAAATGCAGCAATCAGGAAAAATAATAAGGAATTTTTTTTCCCTTTGACCTTTCTTCAATGTGTTTTGAGTTCCTGCCTGAGTTATTTTCATGTAGTCTTTGCATTTTTTAACTCCTGACAGACTACCATTACCACAAACCAAGAGTGTTTCTAAACTAAATTAAATTAGCAAAATATAAAATTTCTACTTTTTCATTTTCTCATTTAAAAAAAAATATTTTATTGAATTTCATTTTATATGTGTAGTTCTTTTTCTAACATTAAGGGAGCTGGTAACTATTGCTAATATTGAGGAATTAAATCAAAATTCTTGTTATAAGCTAGCCATATTACTACATTTCAAAAAACACAAGGTACCTGTTAAACATTAAGCAAAATCCACAGCGTGAATGAGTCTTTACAATGATGAACTGGGTCACAATTTGGTTTTTGTGTATCACCTGCTTGTCCGCAGAATACTGGTTGATGATAGGCATCAATTTAAAATTAAGTAGCATAAACAAAAGTGAAAATGTAGCTTTACGTATGCATATTCCATCCTTAGAAGCTTGTAGTTAATTACATATGTATATAAATATATATGCATATATATGCATATATAATTATTCATATACACATATATGCACATCTGTTTAATATCTATGTAATACATATGCATATATTTATTTCAGTCCTTGTTTTATTTAATCTCTGTTGCACTTGATGTTTTTCTAGTGGAAAAGCCCTTCTACCTCGAATCTTTCTTCATCAGTTTTAGTGACACTCTGGCAACAAACATTCTTAGCAGTTTGGTTTTGGGGTTTTTTTGGTGTTTTTAGTTTCTGTCAGAACCATCAGTTCTTCCTTTTTCTCACAGATTGAGCCATTTTTTGTGAGTGTGGCACTTTATGACCTCCGAGAGAGCAGGAAGATCTCTGCCGACTTTCACGTGGATCTGAACCACAGTGCTGTCAGGCAGATGCTCTCAGGGGCTCCCGTGGCTTTGGAAAATGGAAACAGCGACACGGTCACTCCACGACAATCAGAAGAACCTCACGTCAAGGGATTTCCGGAGGAATGGCTGAAGTTTCCAAAGCAGGTTGCACTTTTGTTTACTCATGATGTGACTGAAAATGCTGTTCCATTGTTCTTACCCATACACTGCATAAGACAAGCAATTTCCCAAATAAAAATTTCCTTAAAGCTATTCTTAAAAAAAAAAAAAAAAGTGAAATTCTGTAAATGTCTTCAGTGTGGTTTCCTAGGTGCTTATCAGCTTTTTAATCCTAACTTTTTTCTTTGTACATAGGCTATATTTTCTGTAAGCAACCCACATACTGAAATTGTTTTGGTGGCCAAAATTGAAAAAGTACTGACAGGAAACATTGCAAGTGGAGCTGAGCCTTATATTAAGAATCCAGACTCCAACAAGGTAATGCATAAGCTTTTTCCTGCATAATTTCAATTGCTTTCAGGAAATAAAATCACATTGCCTGGGGGAATTATCAAGTTTGAAAAATGTAGCTCTTGCAATCCTCATTCATTAGTGAGATGAATATCCATCAGGAAAATTTTAAAGTCTATATTCTGGGCTTGTGTTTTGTGACCCAGCAATTTCTGACTTTTGTTCATTTGTTAGAAATAAATTTAAATGTGGATAAAGTTTTAACCCCAAGGATCAAAGTGTTAACAATAATGAAAAGTTAGGATTAATCTGACTAAAAACAAGTGAACACCGTTTATTAAGACATCAGTAATGCTGATGGCGAACTAAATGAAAAAGTCAGATAATAGAATATCAAATTATAATAACACTTAAGTAAAGAAAGAAAGAGTAAAGGAAATACTGAAAGTTCTTTAAATGGTGGAACTATGGGAAAATTTTTCTTTTTTTGTCTATTATTGTATTTTATTTAATAATCAAATGTTGCTATTTAATAGAAAATAAATATAAAAAGTCTATATTTTCCACACAAAGGAAATATACTAGGAAAATGCTGAATAACAATTGTATTTGAGCATGTGTGACAGTTTAGGGTAGTATTTAACATATTTATGAGAGTCAAGGTTGGGCAAACTGCAAAGCATAGGTAGAATCCAGCCTGCCACCTGTTTTTGTAAATAAAGTTTTATTGAAACACAGTCACACTCATTTATTTATGGATTGTCTATGGCTGCTTTCTTGCTATAGCAGCAGACTTGAGAAGATGTTTCAGAGACCACATTGCCCACAAAGCCCAGTATGTTTACTGTGTGATCCTTTACAGAACAGTTTTGCTGACCTCTGCCATAATGAGTAATAGGAACTATAAAACAGACTATGAATGTGAATTTAATAACATTTTTCATTTAATATTTTAAGTCTTTGAAGGGAAGAAGTTGCAGTTGGTATTCCAAGACAAGTGTATTTTTCTGCATATGAAATTTCCAAACTAAAAAAGAAAGCAAACGTTCTATAGTAGTTTGAACACAGGGATGTGATTTGGCTCTTTAGCAGGTCAATCTGTGGTCCAGGAAGGCAGAATTCCACTGAGTTTCAATATAAGACAACATGGAAAAGTATTTATTATTATTTTGCATGGACAGTTTGTAACATGGTGTTCTAAACAATATTTTTATTATTTGTTTCCTTAGTTTTCCCAAAAGATCCTCAAATCCAACCGGCAGTTCTGCAGCAAGTTGGGGAAATACCGTATGCCATTTGCTTGGGCGGTGAGGTAGGTGGACTGTTGCAACCAACAGAATAGAAACACATTTGTAGCCTGTACTGGAAGCTTCCGTTTTGAACACCTCTGTGTTACCTTCTATTTTTAATATACCAACACCTAGAATAAGGCTAATGTGTTCTTCTTTATAAACATCTTGAGCTCCCCAGAAACGTGTGTTTTACCAAACAATTTAGCAAGACAGCTCATCATAGACTGGAGCCATGATCCATATACAGTGTGTTCATGACCAGGTATTCCGTGTGTTCTTAATAGGACCACATCAAAGTTATGACTTGTTTATTATGTATATTTGGTTTGTCAAACACTTGATATATCAGCCTTGAGTTTGGCGTGCCTAAAATTCAGACGGACACACTATGATTTCTTAGGCAGCTGCATGTTTTCATTCATATGTAGAGCACAGGTCTATATATGGATGTCTAAATGAAGCCATCAAATTGTCATTTAAATTCTCTTTGATTTTGGTACTGATTAGCATAGCCAAGTTTATCAGTACTAGTTGACTCTCTGACAGAAATGCTGAGTTATGTGGACACTGATGGGGGAATCATCTTCCTGGAAATATCACCTCTGCATAAAGAACAAAAATTGCTTTTTGGATCTGCTCAAGTGTCAATTACTATTGTCCTCCTTGATCTCTTCCCATCTTGAGTAGTATAAGAATTTCTTCAAGGAGGAAGAGCCTGGCGTAAACATAAGGGGGGAAAACATCAGCAATGTACAAATCGAACAAACCAAAAAAGGTTAATCAGTGCCCCAAAATGAGACAACCCACTAAGTATTCATTCGAATGTTGGTAACATTGTCCCAATGACAGAAACTTTAAAATCCAAAAGGAAGAGAAAACCTGTCAGTTGTGCCATGTTTAGGTGTCACAGTTCACAGTGATGAGTATAACCACAGTAAACTCACCAGTATTTGTTATAATTTTGAGGTTGCTGCTTAAAGTTGGGGACAGGAATGCACAGGGAAGGGAAATGTAGAAGCCTCCAAGATAGACTCACACAGTCCCCAGGAATTATTTGCCTCAGGCAGCCCTGTAACAAGGGAGAAGACCAGGCCCAGGGGTCTGACAGACATAATCGAATCAGGCCACCACCTAGAGATTGTAACTTTGAGCAAGTTTCCCCTCCAGTGCTCAGCGTCCCCATCTACAGAATGAAGCTGACCGCACCTGCCTCAGGGACAGTAAGTGCAATCTTGCAATCTCAGGTGCAGAAGCACTCGGCATAAAGTAGATCATAGATATCACTTTATCTCCCTTTTCTCTCCCTCCCTACAAGGACAATTAATGCCAGGATATTCTGCGTGAAAAAGATGTTAGTGAGATAGACTAAACCCCTTATGATGAATTTAATGGTTTTTATTTTTCATAAGCTTCAAGAGAAAGGATAACTAGTTATAATTCGCAGGTCAAACTTTTTTATATTGATCATTCTCAGTTCACACAAGAAAACCTATTAGGGCAAGTAGAAGGAAGATATCCCTTGGCAAAAGTGAAATAATCCAATATAGCAAAATCTCTTTAAGCATCCAGCATTGTTCTGAGGTTTTAGAAACACTACGTATGTCTAGAGCCAGAGCTGGGTTTGAAATCTCAACTCTGTTTACTACACAAGTAAGCTTAGGCAAGTACTTATGGTCTGTCTTTATCTTATTTTTTTTTAATAAACAGTAAAGGAATGATAATACCAAATTTACTTACTGTTGCAGCAATTAATGAACACTGATGTTTACCCAACAAAAGACTTAGAAATCATTAGTCTAATGTGATTATTATTAAGTCACCTGTGGAGATCATGTTCACCTCAACAGGTACTCCCTTCTGGTAAACTTCAGGCAATGAAGGACAATGTGAGAGAAACAAAAGAATTGCCTGTTCTAGAGAAGTAACAATCCTATTTTAAAGTTGTCTAGTAAAACATGTTGGAAGAAAGATAGATGAAGTTTCTAGGAGGCTGATAATATTACTGACTGTTAAAGTAATTATGTCTAGGACAGGAAAGCCACCAAAACCACAAGCTCATGCTACATTCATACCCCATTAGTGGTTCAGTTGTAGGTTAGGAAACAGCATGCACCTCCAATTTGTGTATATAAATATGTGATTTAGATTTACATAAACATCTCTAGCAACTAAGAAAAATTGGCTAACAGGACAACTCTACAGATTTTATGTGAGGCCACTTGTATTATGTAACCACAAAAGTAAGCACAAGAGACAACCAAAGAAGATTTGAGTTTCCCCTTCACAATGTGAAAGCTGCTTCAAATAAAAGTTGACCGAATCAGAGGAGGGCTCATTACTCATATTCTTTTGACATAAGCTACTTTCCCGACATATTTCAATACTCTATTGATACTGCCAGTTCTCTGGCTACTGACTCTTCCTTTCTATTACGTTTTCTAGATTGCAGTTTTTGTCACAATATAGCTTTGAGTGTACCCTAAAACACATTGGCCCTTAAAATCAACTGCCACTGAAAAGCATAGAATTGAAAATTTGGCTTCTAACCATATTTTACCCAGATCCAATCATCCCACTCACTGCAACACAGATGCTCATCACTGTGACCATTTTATCCAAAATTAATTTGGTTCATGTTCTTATTTCTGACACCAGCTGTTGTGCCATTTTATAGCAAAAAAAAAAAAAAGAAGAAGAAGAAGAAGAAAAGTAAAAAAAACAAAGAAAGAGAGAGAGGGAGGGAGGGAGGGAGGGAGGGAGGATGGAATTGATTTATACTTGGAGTAGGTTAAGAAAACACAATCAGATGGCAACGTAAGGTGTTTTACACTCATTGATTCATATCATGTTATGAAACATATCGTGTTAAATGGAACTCTCTCCGTGCATATCACCCCCAGAGTTGTATGTGCCAAAATCCTTTCCAAGACTCTGATTTTTTTTATTCTGCCATGCGACATTCAAAATGAACTAGTGCACAACATTATATTTTCATTAAAATTGAACAAGCTTAAAATAAAAATATCCTTCTCATATGTGTGCATTTATAGAAGGTGTGCAGAGCAACAACAACATCCCCAACAAATGGTCTTCCAAACTCTGATCCTTCCACTGACAGAAGCTCCAGTGCACTCCATGGTGGTTCCTTCTGACCTTTAGTAGCTCTAATGATTAGATAATTCACTTTTTAAAAATATTTTTAAACTGCCTGACAATCACTTTTAGATTTTGTCTTCCATAGCCACAAAATAGACGAGATGCCCAGTTCTTTCTATACATCATGGCTATTCATGCTGCTTATGAGCAAAGATCTCAGGAACACATACACTTCTTTCCTGTAGGCTAAACGCCACACTGCCTTCAATCATACCCCAACTGTCATGATTCTGAGACCCTCACCATATACTGATCATTGCACAACTGTGGCAGTCAGAACTAGGCACAGTGTCCCAGCCACCCTGGAACCATCTGTGAAGATGAGTCAGCCCTGGGTTCCCTTGCCAGTTAACACATTTATCGAGCAAGGACAAAGCGGATGGCACTGGGAGCGGTCCTTCGTGGCGCCAAGCTTTGCATTCTCTTTACAACGTATCCACTGTAAGCGAGCTATTTCCAGGGCAGAGCTGTGGATAACAGCAAAAATGAGTTCTACAACTCATGTCTATTGATATATTAGAAGTGACTGGTTAATTAAAAAACTACTGCTCAAACTCAGTTAACTTCCTCCAACGTTGGGAAATACATCATATTTGTTTCAACATGTCCCACACGCGAATAAAAGCCCTGTATAATGTTTAAATAAAAATAATCTTCAGGTTAAATATTTTCATTCTGCTTCCCCAGTGTTATTCGATAAGGACCTTTTTTTCCCCCCTCACTTAGTACTTAATGGAGGAAAATGAGAAGAAAGATTGACAGAGTCTAAAAATATCATTCTGATAAATTCCTGGTGCATTTTTTATATGATTTGACATTAAAACTCTATGATCAGATATCCATTTAAATGGCCATTTCAGCCTGAGTATTGAAATCTTTGCTTAATTTAAAGAGCAATAAAATAGTCTAGTTGAGCTCCTTAAGTTAGAAGAAATAAAAATTCAGCATTTCTCTAACATTACAGAAAAATCAATTACACATGGATCTAATTTTCTTTCATAAGCACAGAGTATGATGAATTATGAGAAAGAAAAATGACATTAAGCATACTATGCATACTGGCTTGTCAGCAAGTATGGCCTGACATTACTATATTATTTGGACGGAAACAAGTTATTTACTTTAACTAAACCTATCTAGTTCCAGTGAAATGGATTGAGAAAGGGAATAAATGCCCTAGGTTCATGGCATTCTCTTTATTAATACAAAATTCTGACTCAAGTGCCTTCCATTATATAGTTGTCTCTGTCCTAAAATTTGGGACTTGAGCACATCTATCTCCATGAAAATGTTTCCAGGAGACTGGCCCTCTATCTTATCCTGTTTCTGCTAGTAAATTCTATTGGCACCATTCAAACCGAAGTGGCCCTGGCTTGCTCAGGAAATAATGAAAAAGGAATAACATGAGTCCCTCCCTTTTTATTCCCCTAATACTCCAAGGTTTTGATATGTTACTACCTTATAAATAAATGTAGTTGTGATATGGGCTTCTGTCACTTTAGATACCAAGTTGAAAATAAGAAGTTAAAGATAACAAATATAGTGTGTAAATGGAACTTCTAAGAAATTTTTTGTCTTTTTATTTCATAAGTTTATTTATAATGAAAGTATTTCTAATTGAATCATTCTAACCACCTTTAAAACACAGCTCTGTAAACAATATCCAAACACCAACCTGAATAAATATTATTTTCTTTCAGATCAGTATTTAAGGACAACCAGGGAAATGTGGACAGAGACTCAAGATTTTCACCATTATATAGACAAGAAAGCAGCAAGATTTCAACTGAGGACCAACTTAAACTAGTGTCAGATTATAGAAGGTAGGAATTTTTGGATACTCTTGAAATTAACATGAATCAGCTACATTGCTACTATTTATTACTTGTGCATAAAAATACTTGATTATCTGATTCTCAAATGGACAAATTCCTCCAGAAAGCAGATGTTCAGCAGATGACTTTGCATATGCCCAAATGATACTGACAGCAGCAAAGCTGCAGAATTATATAGGAGTGTAAAACACTAAACTATGTCAGTTATCTATTGCTATGTAAAAAATCACCCCAAAACTTAGTGGCTTAGAATAACGCCATCACTTATTTTACTCTTGAGTCCATAATTTAAGCATGGCTAAATAAGGAGAGTTTGTCCTTTTTGCACATGGCATCAGCAGGAGAGGTCAACTAGAGCCATAGGACTCACTTTCAAGATGGCTCATCTAACGGCTGCCAAGGTGAGGGGGAGCTCAACTGGTGCTGTGGGCTAGAGACTGGTTCTTCTCCACGGACCCTCTCCATGAGAGACTGTGGTTTTCTCATGGCTGGGTTCTAAGAGTAAGTGTCCCAAGGAACAGAAAATGATTACTGCCAGTTTCTTAACACTGGGGCCGAGAAAGTGCCACAGTGCCATTTCTACCATGACACACGTATACTGTCAAGCTGCCACAGAGCCTAGATGAAAAGGAAGGGGACATAGACACCTCTAAATAGGAGGAGTGTAGAAGAATTTCAGAACTATGTGTTGAAACCCCATAGAGCAATTAATTGCTGTGAATACAGTAATTCATAGTATTTTTGTCGTTCAAATGCTCTTGGAGGAAATGATGGAAGCTAGTGCTAAAAAGTGAAAAATACAAAAGCCACGTTCTTGAAATGAATCATCGTGCACTCAATATCTGATGATGATAAGATCTTCCATGACAAGCAACTTATCTTAAACGATTAGTCCCCTAATGCACACAGGATTCTTCTACCCTTTGCTCCCTTCTGGAATGTTAACGCTGTGCCTCTCCCATCTAAGAGTTAGCAGTCTCCTACCAGTTAATTTTATTTATTCAAAGCAAAAATAATATACTACTAGGAAACATGCATGATGAATACTTTCTGTATCTCCAACAGCGGATATGTTTCTATTTAACTGTAAGGCGAGTTTTCCCAATGTTTTTGTTGTTGTTCTGAAAAAAATAACATAAACCTTAGGAAGCAAAGTAAAGGTGAAAAGTAAAATCTTGGAGGAGGCCCTGAACGAATATTACTTTTATGTGATCCTACAAGACCACTTCTTACATGGCGACTTCGTCAAACTCCCTGGTCAAAGCCTCCACCATATCCTTTCCCTGGGGTTCCCCAGCTACTAAGTGGGAATTCAGAGTGCTTTTCCTCTTTGCTATCTTGCCAGTGTACCAAAGCATTAAAAGTTGGAATGCTGAGAAGCGGATGGTCAAAAGGTTTGGGGGTAATCTGATATAAACGGGAGAATTCCATCCTCTCACAAAGCCCATGTTATCAGTGAATAACAAAGGAAGTTCTCTCTAGGGCAGTCAGAGGGCATCTAGACTATTCAATGTCATACTGGTGAGACATTGAATTATTTCATAGACGCTTCACACCTTATGACATTTATGCTCAGTAGTGTGCTGATAAATGTTTGCCAACTGACCCTTTAGGGGAAAAAAAAAACCTGATTTGTTCTGATGGCCAACTTCTATGGTATAAATTCTCCTACCATGGCTGATTTCAAGCTGTTGATGGGGCTTCACCAAATACGGAGTTGGGAAGAGGATGCACCCCATTATATAACATTCCCACCATACAGATAGATGCAAATGACCTCAAGAGCATGGATAATCTTACCATGTAGTAAAATAAATAGTAAGTGATGAATTTTGAGTAATATTTATTATCTTGGGGTTTAATGTAATTTTTTTTTTTTTTGGCTGAGCCATCCTGCCACCTGTTGGCAGCTAAGCAGCAGCTCAGCTAGGGCCGGGAATCAAATCAGCGACCCTGTTGCTCAGAGTTCGCACTGAGCCACTCGGCCGCCCTAATGTAATTTTTTACAGGCAAGTTTAGAGAATTGCATTTTTAATAACAGTTGTGTTTAACAATTAGCAGGCAAAATAACTGAAAATTTAACAATCTAGGAAGCTAGGAAGAGCTGGCTCTGACCCACTGTTCTAATTATTCCACCTTGCAAAGTAGATTCCCTGCAAGGGGTAAGACTTGAAATTTATCAGCCACTTTCGTTTTACTATAAAGGAAGATGAGTGAGAAGGTTTCATGGAGAGGGAGGGAAAGAAATGCAAGGACTCAGGATTCAAGATTCAGTTTGAGCAAAGTGCAGGGGTAGGCGGACAGGGTGTGTCTGCATGCATTCACAAGGGTGGGAGAAGGCACAAGACCCAAGATTCGGGAAAGTCTCCTTGTCCTCTTAGATTGTTGGTGAAGAGGAAAAAGCACACTGTCCGCTTAGCACTTGTGGCAAAGAACAACAACCTTGCTCTCAAAACTTCGTAAAACTGTCATGAAAGTGAATTACTTAAACCGGTTTAAATACTAGTACTTTTTGTTAAAAATCTATATGTTTACTATCATACTTGTTTGGCCATTTGTGTAGATGTTATTGGAAGTAAGTGCAAATAAATTTAAAACATTCTTCAGAATATCTGTAACTTGACCCTTCCCTGATTTTTTTTTGACAATATCACATAAATTTTAGTTTTCAAAATAAAGCTAGCTAAATGCAGTCATTCACAAGATTGGTAGGGTCCTACTGTTTACCCTTATCAGAGCTCAGAATTATAGTTGACTGTTTTCTTTTCTTGACAACTAGAATAATTCAGTGTGTGTGTGTGTGTGTGTGTGTGTGTGTGTGTGTGTGTGTGTGTGTGTGTGTTTCTATTCTGGCTTACTTTCACAGGGCTGACAGAATAAGCAAAATGCAGACCATCCCCGGAAGCCTTGATATTGCTGTTGACAACATTCCTTTGGAGCATCCAAGTATGATGATGTTGTCATGGTTGGCTTGTAGAGTTTTAAATATTTATTGTTGTGTTGTTTTTTTTTTGCGGGGGGGTCCATTTGTTGGTTGGTTGCATAGTTGCTTGGTTACAAAGGTTTGGGATTTTTTTTCAAAGTTTGAGATAAATGGAATTCATTATCCTATAGAAATTTGGGGCTTCTGATTTCTCCAGTAAGGCTAACGTATTGTAGGAGAGGAACTATATTCAGGGTAACCTAGCATTTATTTGGAATGTACCATGTATGCAGCAAGGTATTAAATTATGTTATTTAATACTCAAAGCCCTGAAGGGTTGCAGCTGAGGAAAGTCAAGTTCAGATAGATTGATAAACCAATAACCCATAATGGGAGAATTTATATTCTATCCAGTTTCTCTGACTCAGAATATAGAGGTGGTTCTGTCACACTGTGCTGCCAAAGGGATACTCTGAACACCATGCCGTAGCCAATGATGCTATGCAGTAGTTAAAGCTGGAATATTTTTAGGGTGTTATTACACAGAAAGCATATATCTTTTTCAGATTATGATCAAAAGCCCTATTTATGTCAATGGAAATTTGAATTTCAGGAGGAGTATTTATTAACTTATAAATAAGAGTTTCAGAATCTATTTCTTAAGTGGTGAAATTGGTTTATTTATTTTTTATTACTTCTGATTACACCTTTTAGTGCCTTTCTCAGTGATGCAAAGAATGAATACAGGCATCCTAAAATTAACTACAAACAGGAATAAGATTATTACAACAGGATATTTGAATTACCATTAGCACTATTAAGTTTTTTATTCTTAAATTTTTCTAGAAATCATTTTACTATGAAATAAAATGAGGATTCTAACATAAGCCATGGCTCCAAATCACTTTTAAATTGATTGGTGTGAAAAAGCAGAGACTAAACTAAGCCATTTTCTCTCTGATATGGGGGATGTGGCTTTTATTACCTATGGAAAAGAAATAACAAAAGAGAAAGCTAAAATATTCTTTTTGTAAATCATAGGACATTAGAGAAATATGAACAAATAATGCAAATATTATAATTGATTTTCAAAAAAGAAAAACAACCCCAAAAATAAAAGAAACCTGTAATCTGATTCCCAAGCATAGTTAGCTAATCATTTTGCTCTTTTGAGCACAGGAAAGTTCCAGGTTGGGTAAAGAAAGGCAGAAGGCCTTGCTATCTTTCAGTACCACAACTATAGTGTCCAAACTATTTAGTGAGAAAAGTTTTGACTTACAAATTCTTAACAATATTTTTTTTTCTCCTCAAGCTGTTCCTACCAGTCTAGATTTTAAAAGTTTGTAAAAACTGAAGAGAAAAATGAAATAAATGGTATCTAATAATGCAGAGGTTTTTCAGGCCTAAGTTGTGAAATCATTGCATAGGGAAAAATTACTATTAATCAGTATCAGTAATAGACCCATTGGACAAAGTTTGATTCTGTTGTATATCAATAGCTATATTATTTATAGTGTTATAAAGAACAGTGAGTCAGTCTTTATAATCCCAAATGAGTATGCTCAAAGGATCATTAGCTAACATTTACTTTTTTTTTTTTTTTTTTTTTTTAGCTGAGCCATCCTGCCACCTGTTAGCAGCTCAGCAGCAGCTCAGCTCTGGCTGGGAATCAAACCGGAGACCCTATTGCTCAGAGTTCGCACTCTTGAGCGAGTTCTTAACCAATTGAGCCACTCGGCCAGCCCTAGCATTTACTTTTTATATCAAGCTTCATACAGAAAGAAAATAGTTATAAATCCATCCAAAGATCTACCAGTTTTTGAGACATCAATTTGCATATTAAATTTATAACTTAATTATCTACCATGCCTACCTTCTACAGATTATTAATGCTGGCATAATTTAACATGAATTGGTGTAAAAGTATAGAGTTTCTATTTTGAGGGGATTAATTTTAACATATATTAAGTATTCTTCACTTAAAACAATCATAGAAAATGACAAACTCTTATTTTCTGATTTTTAAAGACTGTGTAACATCGTCCTTTATCCCTGTCAAGCCTTTCGATGCGACGGCTCAACCAGAACCCACAGTGGAGGTGGAAGAATTTATTTATGACTCAACCAAGTATTGCCGTCCTTACAGAGTGTACAAAAATCAAATTTACATTTACCCCAAGCACCTCAAGTATGATAGCCAGAAATGTTTCGGCAAGGTATGATATGTTTCTGAGATGTCAACCTCTCTCTCCACCCTGTTTAGATCCCATTAAGATGGTTTCTTGAAAGTTCAGATACAAATTACTATTGCTCAACACTTTGGAAAGGAAAACCATTTGAAGAAAATGCTTAATAAGGGACAGTGATGAGCTTCCCCTTAAAAAGGTGTAAGGATGCACAGTTATGTAGTATAGTAATACCCTTTCTGAAATGAACCCTAAATAGTTTGTTCTAGACTTTTTTTAGTTTCTTAAGATACTCTGAAAATAGCATACCTGCCCCCTTTCGATATGAGTTTTTTTCTTCCCTTTTAAATAATCTGTCCAAATCCTTCTGCTATTTCTGAGTGGATAAGGTCACAAGAAAGTATTGGGTAGTCTACACTTTTCAGATTTCATTAGAAGCTACTTATTTTAGGTACTTGGATTGTTTTCTGGTGTTATATAACAGGCAATTACAATTTCCATTTTCCCTTGCCATAATTTCAGGCACGAAATATAACGGTGTGCATTGAATTCAAAAATTCTGATGAAGAAGGTGCCAAGCCCGTGAAGGTAAGCCAAGTTCGCATGGGGACACAACATAAAGGGGGCAGACAGGTGCCTCGGCTCTTTCCACCACTGAGGGGCTTTTAAGTTGAATGTGGTTGGAAGAGGAGCAGTTCAATACCTTTGTTTTAGATTTCCTAAAATGTACCTGATTTAATAGCCATCATTATTAACTAGATCTATTAGAAATGCCAGTGTTGGGCCGGCCGAGTAGCACATTGGTTAAGAGCTGGCTTGGAATGCCAGAGGGCCCCTGTTCAGATCCCACATATGGGCCAGTGACATTGCCCTCTACAGCTAAGATGCTGAACAACAGCTCAACCTGGAGCTGGGCTGCTGTGAGTTGCCGGCAACGGCGTAGGCTGCAGCCCTTGTGGCAGTGGGTTGCCAAGGGCTACTGTGTGTAGCCAGCAGCCGTGTGAGCCGCCAGCAGCTGCCGAGAGCGGCCGTCCAGAAGCCGGTGACTGATCTGCCTCGCCCGGGAAGAGCGCAATGATGGTGCCAACTTGGGCCAGTGAAGCAACGTCCTCCACAACTAGACTGAAGAACAAAAGGACAGCAACTTGTCTGTTCCCCTTCCCCCAATTCCCCAATAAAAATCTTAAAAAAAAAAAAGAGTTGGTTTGGGACACCAGCTCTGAGCAGCAGGGCCGCCAGTTCGGATCCGACATGGGCCAGTGACGCTGCGCCCTCTACAGCTAAGATGGTGAACAGCAGCTCGACCTGGAGCTGGGCTACCATGAGTCGCCAGCGACAGCATAGGCTGCAGTGGGGCTGGTTGGCAGCGGGCGTGAGCTTTCCTGAGCTGCCGTGAGCGGCCGTCCAATGGCTGGGGAATGACTGCCTCATCTGGGAAGAGCACAATGATAATACCAACATGGACCAGTGAAGAGACATCCTCCACACCTAGACTGAAGAACAAAAAAGACAGTAACTTGTCTGTTCCCCTCCCCCAATTCCCCCAATTTAAAAAAAAATTTTAAATGCCAGTTTTGAGGCTCTGCTTAGCTTTTCATGATTTGGAAAAAAGGAAGCCATTCTAGTGTGAAATAAATGCAAAAAAACAAAATAAAATCTCCTCTGGAAGACCTTGCCCTTTTCAAAGATTAGCCTGCCTCTCAATTCAGCATGCTTGATTTAAAATGCTGCATCCCAGCCGACCTTTGTGTGGCCCGTGGAGAGGGGCTGCTGCACACTGGCCTCGCGGCTCATGCAGGGCGCCCGTGGGATGCTCACAGTTATGCAACATGCGTGTGGCCAGCTGCCCGAGGAGCTGGGAAACGGCTCTGGGAAGTCCGTCCCGGTTGTTGATCACATGATTTAATAAAACAGGTTTGTATGAACTGTGCTGTTTTTTTAACCTATAAAACTTCAACTGGATGGCATTTTTCAGAGTTCATATTTGATATATACTGTTTTTATTTGAGGGGCTTCAAATGACATAAAATAACCTATAAAAAGAGAGAAGAAAATTAATTTTAGTGGGCCATCAGCCAGATTTTCCCAGCTTCAGTGGATCAGAGGAATGAGATATAAAGGACAAAATGAATCTCCAACTAACCCCCACAATTAGCTGAGATAATTTCTTAAAACACTCTGCCAGGTTCAAATTGTGTTGTCTGTGTTAAGGAGGTTTGTAGCATTATTCAGAAGAACAGTAATCAATTTGAGTGATTGAATGAATCAAGCAGCAGAGAGAGAAAGAATTCTCCCAAATACTCTTGAACTACTCTCAGCATCTGTAAGTTCCAAGCTCCACAATAGCATTAGCATCAGGAGAGAAGAAATAAAGAGAAATGGAATTGCCAAGCCAAGGCGGTGACCAGATGACAAACACACCAGACCTGTTACAGCAGTGTTCATGCAGAAAATTCCAGGAAAGAGGAATAATTGCGAGTGTGTGGGTCCCTGTTCCACTGCATTCTAAAGCATCACGTAGATGCAGCAGATGCCAGAAGAGGGACCCTGAGCCTTGGGCTAAGGGAGCTTTTAAACTACATGACTAGGAAGTGTCATATCACACCTCCCAGCCTGATTAGGAACTGGGGTAGAGTCATAATTCAATATGGTGGAGCCTGGAACCAGTCCTATCCTGCCAGCTCAGCATACTTGGCTGGGAGCTGGCATGTCAGGGGCTGGGGTCAAACCAAGCCTTGTGGTCACCCAACTGACTGATTGCCTCAAACTCTAGACCAGAGCGGGACACCACAGGCCCCTTCAAGAGGTCACCCTGCAGGAATCAGAATGGAACAAATGAGATCTTATCTCCTAGGAACCAAAAGTTAGGTCTTGAACTGACTCAGATCTTCAGTATTGATGTAATAGCTACACGATGCATTTAAAGCCTTCAAGTTTTTCTTCAGCAGCAACCCATTTTATAATAAACACAAGGCAGCAGGTCAAAGAAGTTCAAGGTTAATTAGAGGTCAACTATGCCTGGCAAGTTATCACAAAATTCCTCTTTGTTCCAGGATTGGTAACTGAAGAAGAGTTGTGGCCTTTTTTGTGCTCAAAGTTAATTTTAGACACTCGTAATTATTCATCTCATAACTTTTTAAACAGTGCATTTATGGAAAACCTGGAGGACCCCTCTTCACCTCCGCCGCCTACACTGCAGTTCTGCACCATTCCCAGAATCCGGATTTCTCAGACGAGGTAAGGGCCAAGCTTCCACTGCCCCGATAGCTTCTAAAAGATGGGTGAGTGGGCCACTCTCGACCACACCTCAGACTAAGGACATGTCTTAGCAGGTGTTTACTTAACCAAGATTAGAAACTGCATTGACAGTGGCTTCAAAAATATGTTGCAAATTCAAATATTTCAGCACAGAATTGCCCTTTAAAAATGTGATTTGTTTTGTTGTTATCGTTCTTTTCAAGTGAAACTAATTTTGTTTCTTTTATTTCTCTGGACAATATAATAAAGATTACCTTAGATAGTTTTTAACTGAATAGCAGCATTTCATGTCACTCTGGAAAGAACAGAGGAACAGAGAATATGAGCCAACAACTTGTGTGAACTTGAGTGAGCTTGGACCCCCTCATCTCTAAACGTGGCCTGGAGCAAGACCTGTCCTGGCCACCTCTCAGGCCTCTCTTATTACGTGCCAGTCACCGTGCTGTACTCCAAATATGAATCGTCTCACTTAATCCACACAGGGTGTCTAGAGAAACAGAGCCAGCAGGGGAAGGAGGGAAATGATAGATAGATGGATAGATGATAGATAGATGATAGATAGATAGATAGATAGATAGATAGATAGATAGATAGATAGATAATTGATTCACATGATTATGGAGGCTGAGTAGTCCCACAGTTTGCAAGTTGGAGACAGGAAGGCCAGTGGTACAGTTTGGAGGTCTGAGAGCCAGAGAGCCTGCTGTGTACATTCCAGTCCAAATCCGAAGTCCTGAGAACCAGGAACACCAAGGGCGGGAGGTAAATATTCCAGGTCAGGCAGTCAGGCAGAGGGGATTCAACCTCTGTCTGCTTTTCCGTTCTCTTTGTTTCCTTGACAAATTGGGTGATGCCCACCCACGTTGGGAGGGCCACCTGCTTTACTGAGTCCACCAATTCAAATGCAATTCTCTTCTAGAAACATTATCACCCAGACACACCCAGAAATAATGTTTACCAGCTATCTGGGCATGTTGTGGCCCAATCAAGTTGACACATAAAATTAACCATCACACTTGCCTAGTTTATGGATAAGGAAAGGGAGTCAGAGAAGTAACTGCCAAGGGTACATAACTAATGAGTGATAATCAGAATTCACACCAGGCCATGTGACTCTACAGCCTGAAGCCTCACCGCTCTGCCGTAACACATATAACCATACACACGCACAAAAACGCTGCAGTGATTACATTTAATTTCTAGCCATGAAAGCAAAGGTCTGAATTAATGCAACCTGCTGGTAGGATGGCTGGGATTTAAAATCACATCTTTTGCATTAATTTTCTATCATTGCTATAAGAAGTTACCAGTTTAGTGGCTTAAACGACACACATTCATTATTTTACCGTTCTGGAGGTCACAACTGTGAAATGGGTCTCACAGGGCTGAAATGAAGGTGTGAGCAGGCCTCCGTTCCTTCTGGAGGTTTCAGGGGGCAACCCTTGCCTCACCTTGTCCAGCTTCTGGAGGATTCTGGCTTTCACTGACTTGTGACCCTGTTACCAATCTCATCACTGTGACCTCTGTTTTCCTCCTCACGGTTCCTGAGTCTGATCCTCCTGCCTTTCTCTGATAAGGTCCTTTTTGATTACATTAGGCCCACTGGCTAATCCAGTATAATCTCCCCCATCTCAAGATCCTTAACTTAATCCCATCTGCAGAGTCCCTTTTAACCATGGAAAGTAACATGTTCACAGATTCTGAGGATTAGGACACAAAGGACATCTTTGTGGAGCTATTATTCTGCCTACCCCACCTTGTTACACTTCAATCATTTTAAAACTAATTAAAAGAACACCAGTGAGCCACAGACTTTATCTCCTTCCTCCACATCCATTTAATGCTCTTAAATTTTTTTCCCTATGAATTCAGGACAGAAGGTGAAAAAATTAAGGGAAAGGGGTATCACCACATTATAGAATATTTACTGTATTGGTTGGCCACTTGGCAAAGCCCATTTGAAAGGTGCATGCTCTGTAGACATGTATGATTTAAAAGAAAGGAAAGAAAGAAAGAAGGAAAGATGAAGGAAGGGATGGAGGGAGAGAAGAGAGAAAGAGGAGAGGAGAGGAGAGGAAAGAAGGGAAAGGAAGAAAGAAAAAGAAAGGATGTTCTCACAGTTAACTCTGGCTTTAATGTCTCTCACTGTCATGTGCTTCTCAGGCTCCTTGTAAAATCCACAAGCTTGTCCACAGGAGAGCATGTAGGTACAGAGCAGCCCGGTGAAGTCTGCAGTGTAGACTCAAAACTAAGGCTTTATTCCCTTCTTTATCATTGCAAAAGGCGATTGCATTAATTGCAAAGGCATGAATATAAATTCTTCCAAGGCACAGTGATAATGTGAATATTTGCAGTACTTGTTAAGTGAAGATTGTTTGCATTAGTATAATATTTAGTTAACTTGAATTTTTGAGTACTTGTTGCATTCCCATGAACTCTTTATGTTGGGTAAAAAAAGAAATTTTTATTCCACTGCATTGTTAATCATTGTATATTTTGAACTGTATATGGGTTTTTTGTTGTTTTTTTTTTTACACCAGGTTGGCATGCTGTATATAAACAATATATTAGCTTGCAAACCATTCTAATGCAGGAGTTCTCTAAGTTGATCATGCATCAGAGTCACCTGGAAAGCTTGTTAAAGCACAGATTACTGGAAGCCACCCCAGATTTTTGGATTCCTGATTTTTGTATGTCTGGGCCTGGGAACTTACATTTCTATAAAGTTCCCAGGTGATGTTGATGCTACTATTCAAAGGACAACACTTTGAAAACCAATGTATTAAGTCCTTTCCTGAACAATGTGCAAATAAATTAGCCAGCTAGATAGATGCACGGAGAGTCTAATACGTAAGCTGGTTGATCATTTGCCTGGGTCTCTATCACCTTAGGGCTTGATTTGACTATTCTAGAAGCTAAGTAGTTTCTGGTATTGAATGGAATGCAGCTTACCTGCATGGAATCCTGAGATTCCAGTGTGAAGTGGTCAGAAGGTGTGCGTCTTTGTCCTGGAAGTTCCTATTACTGACTGGACCATAATCTTGGTGACTCAGAGTCTCCTAACATCTCTCACATGGGCTCCTGCTTCTGTTTGGTCCTACTTCCTGCACAAGGCTATTGGGTGAACTAAATGACAATGTATGTGATAGAGGTTGGGGAACTGTAAGCGCTATAAAATGTAGGTTTCAAAACACCTCTTTCCAGGAACATGGACTATGCTCCTCATTAAATATATTATTAACTCCTATCATTTTGTGTTTTATGTTTATTCAGAAGTATTATTTATGTAGCTACAGTATGACCTCTTCACAAAATGGTGCATTACTTAGTTACCACAATATATGCATTTTTATACACTATATACCATGTATTTTTTGTTGTTATTTTTTTAAAAGGGATAAATTCCATGCTTAAGTTACATCATTTACTACTGGCACGTTTTTCAGCAATGTGCTTATGAACTGTCTGGGGATCTTATTAAAATGCAGATTCTGATTTTATGTCAGGGGATGTATCTAAGATGCTGCATATCTAATGAGCTCCCAAGTGATGCTAATGCAACTGGTCCATGCACATACTTTGGGAGGCAAGGATTCATTGTTCACTCAATGTATGTTCCTCGATGACAAGTCCTCAATCTGTGCCTGTTTACATTCTACAGTTGTGTGTGTGTGTGTGTGTGTGTTTAATCCATACTATAGAAGCATAAATTATCTAATGAGATATACTAGGCATTCTAAGTTATCATTATATGCCACAATAAAAAAGTAAAAATATCAACATGTTCACACATTACTGCTAGCAGGATGGATATTTACTGAGAGTTAAATCAGTATTACTAACACCAACTATTAAACATGGACCTAGTGGAGATTTCAGTTAAGAATTTTTGGAAGGCCAAGGTGCCTATGCTTTCGCTTGCCTTGACCCTGGGAAAGTGATTTTAATCTCAGTCCAGCTATTATCTCCTTTGTTGCAGGTGAAAATTGAGCTACCAACACAACTCCACGAGAAACACCATATCCTGTTTTCTTTTTATCATGTCACTTGTGACATCAATGCGAAAGCTAATGCCAAAAAGAAGGAGGCTCTGGAAACATCCGGTACTGACAGGAAGTGATCTGACATAGCTTTACGTGTCATCTGTTTGACTTAAACTGGAGAGCATTTCAAAAGCTCTGATTTATTAATTTTTAGTGAAGTTTTGTATTCATAAATGATAAATTGCATTTATTTTTACTCCTCACCACAGAGGTTTGTACTTAGAAGTTTTCTCTTTGTTGTTCTTTTCCACAGTTGGATATGCTTGGCTTCCTGTGATGAAACATGATCAGATAGCTTCTCAAGAGTACAATATCCCCATAGCTACAAGCCTGCCTCCTAATTATTTAAGCTTTCAAGACTCTGCAAGTGGAAAGGTACTGAATGATGTATAATTTAAGAGAAAAAAAATACATGAGCTAAATGGCATGAGGTTATCTTCTTTCCACTGTTTAAATTAACCCAGCCGTAGTGTAGGCATCCATTGTAGTCATTAATCAAATGCACCTATAGCATTTCAAATATCTTGTTTACTTTATGGCCAGGAGAAATGCTCTATTAAGAATGATCCCCTGATGCTACACTGATCTCACTTGCCAATGCCACCTGATGTATTTGCATCTTTTATTTTCCATCTCTACAGTAATGGAAGATTAATGGAGCAGGAGGTCAAATTAACATAAGCTAAATAACCTATTTATTTGCTTTCTTTCAAATTGCCACAGTGAGAGTAACAAACTCTTTTTTTTGCAGCATGGTGGGAGTGACATTAAATGGGTTGATGGTGGCAAACCACTTTTCAAAGTATCGACATTTGTTGTGTCAACAGTGAACACTCAGGTAAGCATGTTTTTTTCTGAAATGCCAGCATCTTTGTGACCACGCAGAATCAGGTGTCTCCTATATTTATGGGAGGAGACTCACCATTTCACAGGGTGTCAGAAGAGCAGGTGATAAAAAAGGAAGACTGTTTGCAGCATAATTCTGTGCCTCTGCCAGGAGAAATAGAATGCGCTAACCCATAAAAGTCCAGGCGCCATGAAACTGCAGAGCCAAATACCAGAAGTGTATTTATCAAGAGTACACTCTCCTTGGAAGATGGCTTTGCTTCCACTGACAAGTGTTAAAAATGTGAAATGTTCAAAATAAAGAATGGGAAGGCCATGAAGTCAGCAGAACCGCATTTGAGCCGCCTCAGCCGAGTTCTGAATCAGTGACCTTGGACAAGTCACTTTACTGCAGTTCTTATTTCCTCATGAGGACAATGATAACAATACACTCTCTCTGCCTAAGGTTATGGTGAGGCTCAAAATGAGAAAGTACATGGGAAAATATCTAGTGAACGGGAAAATATCTCATGAACTGCAAAATGCAATACAAATCTAATTATCATCATTGCCAAATTATCACACACTCACCCTTCCATTGCAAGGCAGCTCGGTCTATCTACCACAATGTGAGGGTTTTCATGGCACCAGTTATAAACTGCAGAACAAATTATTACAAGTACATAGACTATGTCTTTCTCCTTTATTAAATTCAGTGTGTATCCACTTTTTTATTTTTGCTTCATGCTGCTTTATCTCTAGCACATACTTGGTTGCTAAGAAAAAGGAAATACTCCAGGCACCACACATACCCTGGAATGAAATTTCTCTCAGGAACCTCTGGGGTCTCCAGCCACATTTAATCCTCTCCCCTGATCTTCTACCCATGACGTTTTTACACCCATCTTTTCTCTGATGCCATCAGCCCTGTTGAGTCCCACAGAATGGTCACGCTCCACCAAATCCTGCTTTTCTCTAACTTAGAATGTCCTGAGTTCTCTTTCTCACGCTTCCAGTCGCTTTCTTCCAAAGAGCGCAGGTCTCCCTGTGATTCACCCTTGCTCACCTTTCTCCACGTCCACTTCCACAACCCACACAACCCGTCGCCCCGGGGACACATTCGACTTTCATCCATCCCAAGACTGACCTCAGTTTTCAGATACCCAAGGCTCTCTCCAGCAGTTTTCTGTCCATCTGCTTAGTCCTGCCAAGACCCACTGACCCTCTGACACTCAGCCTTTCCTCAGCCAGGAAGCCACTCTCTCCCTCTCTGCCTCCCCGCCCGTCATGGGCCTGGTCTCTTCGAGATCTCAGCTCAAACGTCTCTTCCTCAAAGAAGGCTTCCCTGTTCCCTGGCTCCACAGGCATGCTGAGTTATACACCCACGCGGCACCCTGCTTTCTTTTGGAGCACTTACCTAATTGTGACTACATGGGTGTGTGTGGAAATCGCCGTGCCGCCTGTGTTTCTCCCTGGTGTATGGAAGGATCACAGAGGAAGCTAGAGGGTTTTCCTTGTGCTCAGTGCCTGCCAAGGGCCTGGCACAGAACCGGCTTTCAATAAGTAATTGTCAAGTAGATGAATACATGAGGTGGAACCGGAAATATCACACACACACCGACCTGAGGGGAACCCAGACTACAGATGCCCTTCTAGAATTGACAAATACCAGAGTAACACCCAGAGAGTACATCTTTACTAAAATTCTGAATCTCACTTTCTGATTGCATAACTCCAACCCCCAGCACCGAATTTAGAGAATTTCCAAGGTGCCACCTTCTTCAGGAAATAGCATTAAAGGTATTAGTTTGCTCAGCTGCCATAACAAAACACCACAGACTGTGGCTTGAGCAGCAGAGATGTATTTTCTCACAGTTCTGGAGGCTGGAAGTCTGAGATCCAGGTGTAGCAGGGTGGATTTCTGCTGAGGCCTCTCCGCTTGGCCTTCTCGCTGTGTCCTTACATGGTGGTTCCTCTGTGTGGCATGTGTCTGGTGTCCAAATATACTCTTCTGGAAGGACACCAGTAATATTGGATTAGGGCTCCCCTCATTGCTTCATTTTAACTTAATTACCTCTTTGAGACCTTATCTCCAAGTACATTCATATTCTGAGGTGCTCAGAATTAGGACTTCAACATACGGGTTTGGGAGAGAACACAATTTAGCCCATAACAAAGGTTACGAGTCAGAGTTATCTCCTGGTAACTCTGGTTAGTGTGGACTTCCAAATTTTTTACCATCTCAGGCATTTTAAGTCTGGCAATGTCCCTATGCATATTAAAGAGTACGCATTTTCATGTGTGTTAAGGAATATGTAAGAAAATTTGGTAGAAGCCTGTGGAAGAAGCAGGAAGATGAAAGAAGGCAATTAAAAAAAAAAGAAAAGAAAAGAAGGTAGAGAGCCAAGGGAAGTCATTCTCCAGCCATTGTCATGTGGCCAAGAAGGAAAACAAACCCATGAGAAAGCCACAGGCGAGTGGGCTATGTGCCAGAATGTCTAGTGTAAATGAAAGCCCTGTCCCTCTGAGCCCTCCCATCCAGGCATCTATCCTACAGAAGTGCTCACCTCCCAGCACCATGATTGTCACACAGTTTACCTGTCATCAGGAATAACACTTTTATTTTTATTTTTGGCTGTTTCAGGATCCATATGTGAATGCATTTTTCCGTCAGTGCCAAAAAAGAGAGAAAGATATGTCTCAGTCACCTACCTCAAATTTCATCCGTTCTTGTAAGGTAACGAGCATACAAATATTTACAGGGGTCTCCAGGGGAGAGATGGACGAAAGAGACCGCTATAGTTTCCTTTGCATAGCAAATGAAGTGGTAGTTATCACTGAAGATATTTATATGCCACAGCAATTCAGAGATGAAAAGATTTTATTTCACAGTTCCTTAATATTTTGTTGATTAAAAAACAAGCAAAGATTGGTATTTCCAAAACAAAAATCATTGAAAATCAAAACCAATTGATTTCAAATTGGTTAATTAAACATAGTGTCCTTGCTTCCCAAGGTAAATGTGATAAAGAATAAAGCCAGATAAAGGGAAGCTAAAGTATTCACGTTTAAGTTCTGAGAAAACATCAGCAAAAATGTGCTTTAAACTTAATCAGTGTGGTTTGTTTGTTTTTTTTCTTCCTGTCAATTTACTACAGAACTTATTGAATGTGGAAAAGATTCACGCAATCATGAGTTTTCTGCCTATAATCTTGAATCAGCTCTTCAAAGTTTTGGTTCAGAATGAGGAAGATGAAATAAGTACAACTGTGACCAGGTACCTTTTAGGAGAAGAGATTTTATCATCTGTGGTTACGCACAACTTGGATTATAACTGAGCGGCCACCTAATTCTGTATGCTTGCATTTCGTTTGAACGCATGTCTCAAATTTAAGTATTTCTCACTCTTGACTTCTTACCTTCTAATCATCTATTAGTATCATTCAAATATAGTTTTAGACTTCGTAACATTTTCCTTTTGTTTTTGAATTAATATTTTTATTTTAAGATAATTATAGATTTGCATGCACTTGTTAGAAATGATGCATAGAGATCGCATTTTCCCTTCACCCAGTTTATCCCACTGGCAACATCTTGCAAAACTGTAGTATAATCAAGAGTAGTACCAGGCTATTGACATAGAGAGAGAGAATCATACAGTATGACTGTATCAGGATGTACCATAATTCTCTGGCAATTCATCAAGTTTGTTGCACGCATCCATAGTTCATTTCTTTGTATTTCTGAGTAGTATTCTATACCACAGTATGTTTAACAATTGGCCTGTTGAATGAATCTGAGTTGTTTCCAGTTTGGGGTAGATTTGGGATAAACATCAGCTTTCATTTCTCTGAGATAAATGGCCATTGCAATTGCTGGGTCCTAGGAGAGTTTTATGTGTAGTTTTTAAGAAAATACCAAAGTGTTTTCCAGAGTGGCTGTACCATTTCACATCCCCACTAGGTCTTTTTTTTTCTAAATACTCACTTTTTCTCCAACTGTTCTCACTTGAAGTTTGTCTATATTACATTTTTCCAGCATTATTAATCTGTCTGGTGACTTTTGCAGCCACAGTTTCCTCTTAATAGAGATAGTGTTTCAAATTAATTATGGATTCATATATTCCTAATGTTCATTTGTTTAAAAAATATTAGTCACAATATTCTGGAAAAAAAAACTACTCTTGACAGTCAAATGTTTCCAGCACCTTCCTAACTCACAGACATATTATTAGCCTCTCTCAGAATGAATCTTTAGCCTCATTTTTAAAGTAGAGCCATGAACCTTTGAAAGATTGAAGTATCCCTCACAGTTCTACAACTAGCCAGTTCTAGACCCAGATTAAAAGTCCCCAGCTGTGTCTTCAATAGGTGCTCTTTTCAGCATGAGTATAAGGGTCTCTGTGGACAAGACTCCTAAATATTTCAGCTGATAGATATGTTGAAATTCTGAGATATTCCAAAGCACTACAGCCATGAAGCAATTGAAAGTATTTGTATGAAAAAAAAATCAACCTGTACCACCAGTGCTATCCCAGCTAAGTGCTAAGGTGGTGGGGAGGAGGGAATGACAGCATCTTAACCTAATTACTTTTTCCAGAAGTCTATATGTATAGTGCCTCTGGGTTGGAAGGGAAGCCCTTTTAAAATGGAATATGATAATTAATTTGAGGTTAAAGGTCTTAACTTTTAATCAGGTGCTAAAAATGATCCTTTTTCCAAGAAGATAATGTCAGCAGCAAACATGCAGACCATAATAGCACATTCAACTTGGGCAAAAAAAGTCTCTAGTGTGATATTGCATCTGTAAGACACTACTTATGTTTTAATGTTTAGAGATTTCAAGATTGGAATTGGCTAACAGGTAATATCGATGTTAAATACCCAGTAGTGGGGGATGAGGGGGACCAAGGGGACTCTGAAATTGATTGATTGATTCATTCATTCATTCATTAACTATTAAGTACCCAGTTTAGAAGCACTCCATTGACAATCCAAATGGTATTTTACAGCCTTCTCTAGAAAGGCCACTGAACAGCTTTGTTTTTCCAGGGTTCTGACTGACATTGTGGCCAAGTGCCATGAGGAGCAGCTGGACCACTTTGTCCAGTCTTACATTAAGGTATGAAGTCACCGCTTTGACCTTGGTCATATGCCCTTGTGCTGTGTGGCTTGTCTCGTTTCCTGTCTACAATAAGTGGGAAGTCTCTCCCCTTAGCTGGACGGTGCCCACCGCAGTAATATCAAACATGCCACTTAGCTACTGAGAATTCTCTCTCTTTGCGTGGATGGGCTAGATGTATTGTTTGAATGTATAAATGTGTAAATAACATGTACATGTGCAAATGAATATTTATCTGGGGAGAAAGAGAGAAAAAAGAGATAGAGGAGAAAACGACTGTCTTTTAGAAGTCACCATTACAAACGAATGAAATTCCTGTGTACATTTAAGGAAGACCTTTCTTGTTGGTTTGTTGAATGCTCTACGTTTCTTCTGTAATGTGTTCTTAGCTCTTTTTATTGTTTTCTCAGGCATTATTTCATTTTCCCAGTTACTGTATATTTGTACCTGCTTCTGGTATGTTAAGTCCTTTATCCTCTGGCATGAACCACTAGCCCATTCCATCCGTGTGCCCTGCTTCCTCCAGTGTCCTTCGTCAAGTATATCTTCTCATTTCCAGTTGGCCTGTGAATTAATGCCAGTGAACTTGCGATGATGTTTGCACGTTAGACTTCCGGCCTAAATGTCACCTTCTCGAATGGGGAGAAAAAAGAACCCATCTAGAGATAAATAACAGTACCTTTATGATATAGAAGACCTAAATGTCTGTTTTTTGATGCATAGATTAAATCTTTTTGAAACATAGACCTTTTGAATTAAAAGAATATATTTCATTAATACCTATGGATAGACATGTGCCCATCTATTTTAGATGTTCAAAAGGTGATTAGAGAAGAATTTTGGGTGTTTTGTGCTAGAAACTTGTTTTTTTTTTTAAATCTACTATAAAAGAAAATAGCACAGAAAATTCATTTTGGAGAGAACCCCTCTGAGATATCATCAATGAGAAATTTTTTCATTAGTTTTATATCTATATATTTTCCACTTGCCAGAAATGTTAGATGTCTTCCCAAATACCTAAATATAAGTCTGTACTCTTCCTTAAAATAGCACATTTGTCAAAAATAGTCAGTTATTGCACAATGATTTCCCTCTGGTATAATTTTACCCAATAAGACCTACATTTCATTTGCAGAAAGCCAGTTTCACCTACAAATGCCTTTTTAGTCTGCTCCCTGTTTAAGATGAAGTCATAGCTTCCTTGTATAGGGTATTGATGAATTTATATTCAACAGAATTATCTACAGAACTTGCACTCGCTCAATGCTTACCTCAGTGTTCCATTTCAATCTCCAAGGGGCTGAGCCGAAAAAAATTCCCCAGTCCACATTACGCAGAGTCATCTCCGTTTCAACACAAGTATTATGTACCTTGTTCTAATGGAATCGTTGAAAATTACATTAAGAACCCACTGGTGTTGTGACTATTTTTGTGATAGTCAAGGTTAGTTCCTTTTGAGAAACTTAAATCAGTTCTCAGGCTCTGTCTGTGACGTTTTTGGAGAGTTATATTGGAAATGCATCCTGATATGGTCTTTATTTTTAACCAGGATACTTGAAATATCTGGATGAGCTCATTTGATTCTGTAATATATGAGATTGCATATTTAGCTTGCTTTGAAGTGGTTCAAATCCAGAAATCCACATATGTAGAATTTCAAGTTGATAATTCCTAAAGATATTTAATAATACATTTCTATATATCTAGAACAAATCTAACCTAATAAATATAACCAACTGGAGTTTTATTCTGGAGAGAGCACTAAACTAGCAAGTGGGAAACTGGGTTCTAGTCAAGGTTACGTAGTTAATGTGAGCAGCCAGCCTCTCTGAACTCAGTTTTCTCCTCTGTGAAGTGAGACAGGATGGACCAGGTGAACATCCAGCTTCATGATTCTGTGATTGGACTCCTGTTGTAGTGCATGGCTGACAGCCTGACCTTGACCAAGGAGCCTGATTTTCTAACCTCAGTGGGGAAAATTACCTAACATATAGATGGATATTAGGCCCCACAACTAGGAGTATAATGAAAACTGATGGGCCAGTACCAATATATGCTTTGAAGTCCTTAAGAGATCTGAGAGTCAATGTAATCTATACTTATTGACAAGCAAACTAAACACCATTTCAAGTTCAGTGGTGCTAAATGCTGCTAACTCACCCCATCTACACTGTCCAAAATGCACACATACACCATGTCCTTTTCAAAAATGTATGTCTGAAGTTAATCTAATGAAATTCCATGGTTTACAAACAATTTGTGACACTGACATGTTATAGCCAAATTTTAAAATAGAATATTTCAGAGCTAGTTGAAATGCTCTTGGGGCTAAATAACTATACATGGGACTAGGTGCTGATGACATGACCCTCATGTGAGTCCTAATCCCTGAGGGGGAAAAATTGTATTGTCCTTGATTTTAGCTTGTTTCATGCATCTCTTAGCTTTGTCTTTCTCCTCTGGGATGAGCTTGGAGAAGTCAGGCCCCATCAAGATGATTTCACTGTCAATGAGCTATGAAGTTCAAAGAAATAATTATAGATCCAAATGTGAATGTGCCTCTGCTTTGAGTTTCTTGCCTGCCTTCACTCTCGATTATAATGAAGTCTGAATTGTGAATTTTAGAAGAAATGACCTCCCTTGAGGCAAACCCAGCTCATTAGTAAAAAATTATAATTCAGTAATAAGCATTCTATATTTGAGATATATTGAGATGTATATCAATGCCAAAATTGATGCTGATATCCTTAAAATATATGAAGAAATACTGAAAATTAAAACCATTGCATGAACTTCATGCTGCGTCCCAATCAATCTTTTGAGGGAAAAAAAAGTGAGCAGCTTTTGTTATCGTACCGATGGCCAATGTTCATGAACCTTTTTACAGCTGTGTGTAAGCATGAGATGGTAGGCCCTGGGCGTGTGGGAAGCTCACCTAGTGGCCTCTGGAAAGCACCGGCTTCCCCACTTGGCTATTTGAGTGGGCGCTCTACCCTTTCAGGATGAAGAAATGCTACCATGCCACCTGTTACCAGTGGAAGGAAGGAGAAGGGGAAATGTGTCCTGAGTAGGTGGGTCAAAGCCCTCCATGTTTCCTTGAATCTGCTAGATTGCCCTCTGACTCTTTCTTCTGATTTCTACAAAAAGAGTTTCGAGGAGCGCTTAGGTGAGCCAGGCCTGCCCTGTGCAAAGCTCTAAGTAGGAACAGGTGTGTACTACTCTTATCATTGGGCCTTCATTTACTTCATAACAAAATCTGGCATGAGCAGATAAGTTTGAGTTATAAATATTCATGGAACATCATTTTTAAAGCTTTGTTTTTATTAAGTATTTTTACTTTTCCCTCTTTTTTGGATTTTCTTCAGTTTGTGTTCAAGACCAGGACATGCAAGGAGAGAACGATACATGAGGAGCTGGCTAAACATGTGACTGGTCTTTTGAAAACAAATGACTCAACAACGATCAAGCATGTCCTAAAGGTAAAGAATTTAAAGATGATTCTTTCTTTGTTAGTATGAGGTTTACATTCACCCCCGGAAAGTGATAGGATTCATTGATTTTCATAAGTCATTTCTTTTACAATTTCTAGCATCAGCTTCATATTGAAATAGTAGCACATAAAAGTATTAAGCAAAAGAGATCTGTGTCAAGAAAACAGATCACCTTAAGAAGTAGAATGGACCCAAGTGAAGGCCTTGACCTAAAGACAGAATAAACGATATTAAGAATTATTGAAAACACTAAAATATTCTAAGTGTAGCAAAAATAAAGTTTGTTGGGTTTTTAGGCACAGTAAGAGGAAATATGCCAATGAAACAATTAATGATATATTAATATATTGACAACAGAGAAGAAGCAAAGAAGCAGACACTCTTTGACGAATGCATGCATTCGTGGAAACATAAAGACGAGATGGTGGGAAGCTTATGACAAGATAACTAAATTATTATAGAAGAGTGAACTTAGTCCCCAGCTAAATGAATTATCTATCATGACTTGACAGGTGGATAATTGATTAGTAAGTAGCTGGAAAGAAAAGGATCAATAAGCATCCACATGAGTTCACTAAAATCAAATTATCCCAGGCCAACCAATTTGTTTAAATTAGCCTTATGAGTATATTCATTTAGTTTATTCCACAAACGTGCTCTTAGTGCCTCCCACGCAGCAGGCACCATCCTTGGTGCTTGGCATGCCACAGAGAACAAATAAAAATCTCTGCCCTCAGGAAGCTTACATTCTACTGGGAATTAAAAACAATAAACTACAGACACGATAACAAAATGCATTCAATTGTGTGTTAGAAGATGCGAAGTAGTATGGGAAAAGAAAATATCAGGCAGGTAAGGGGAATTTGGGAGCAGAGTGCAGGATGAGGTTTGCAGATTTAAATAGAATGGTCAGGATGGAGCTTGCAGAGAAGTCAATACTTGCTCAAACAAATGGGAAGGCGGGGAGGGAGCTGGTGCTGTGGATGCTGAGTTTAGAACCTGGAAGGTAGAAGGGGAGACCTGCAGCGGCATGTCTGCTGGACCTGACGGATGGCAGGGGGCCAGTGTGGCTGGAGCTAAGTGAGCAAAGGAGAGTGGAGGCAAGGTGACACCAGAGAAACAGCAGGGGGTTCGGTGTGTGGCATAAGGCCTTGTGGGCCCTTGAGAGGGCTTTGGCTTCCATTCAGAGCAAAATTGCGAGCCATTAGAGGGTTCTGAGCAGAGGCCGGATGTGAGCTGATCTTGGTTTAGGGGGATCACACTGATGGCTGTGTACAGAGTAGACCAAAGTGGGGCAAGTGCTGGAGAGGCAGCCTTCCCAGAAGCAGCGTCCTCTGGGGAGAATCAGAGTTCAGTTAAAAAGTGAGGTGAAGGAACTGTCTGGAGGAGAGACACATCTTCAGGAGATTTTGCTGATGGTAGACCGTGTGTTCCGGAAGGCATGGCGCGTGGGTTTCAGGAGATGGAAGCTGTGGGTTATATGGATACAAAAGGGAATGCGTGGAGATTACAGGGCAGGAGAGGAGTGGGGCTTCTCCAATCAGACGTGGACAGAGACAAAAGCCTTCATTAGATTAGTCCTGGTGGACTCAAAGTGAAGAGTGGCAGCTTACAAGAGTGCTGAGGGGTAGGGAGTGGTGTCAGCCGAATTAAGAGACATTTGTTGGTACACTTGGCATAATGGTTTAAAAGTACAATATCATTTTGGACAAGATGGGGGGAAATGGATTTTAACAATGCACATCAGATTAATTAAATATTCCCAGCATTTTCAATATCACCTTTACTAAAATGTGACCCCTTTGTTAAGCCAAAGCTGCCTCTTTAGAACTTAAACTTCATCTCTGTCTTTCTTCTAGAGTTAGGACTGTGTACTCACAAGTTCTTAGCAGCATGATTTGTATCAGCCTAAAATTGGACATAATTCAAATGCCCATCAACAGTAGAGCAGATAAGTAAATTGTGATTATATACGTGATGTAGTGAACATACGGGATCCCAGCAACATGATTCTTCATAATAGAAACTCAGAACAGGATATGTTGAATGAAAAAGGCAATCACAGGAGAATATATACAGGATGTTTCCATTTATATGAAGTTCAGTGGAAAACAAAACTACATATATTGCTTCAATATATAATAGTGGTAGAAAAGCTATGAAGTAAAGCACGGGAATGATTTGCACAAAAGTTAGAATTGTTTGCGGTAGAGGGGATGGGAAGGGGAGAGGAGCAGGGGAGTGTATTCTTTGAATTGTACATACATGATATATACTTTTTGTACCTGGAATAAGGATTACCCTTTCACCCTTAGACCCAAGAAAGAGGGGACTCCCTCCTGGGGCACGCCTCGGTCTTCTCCAACCACATACTTCCCCATGAGGAAAGGCATGGGAGTAGCCAAGAGTCGTGCCACGGGGAGCCCCTCTCTCCCCTTCTGAGTCTATGAGGATCCCCAGGAGCCCCACCTCGTGGGCCCACAGGCTTACTCCTGGGCCTGCTTACACCTCTCTCCTAAGTCCATCCTTCAAAGGGAAAATCTTGATGCCTGATTGCCACCCTAGACCCTGGGAAGGAGCAGTTGGTGGTGGGACAGGGACTGGTGGTGGACAGCCCTTAGGCATGCAGGCTGGACAGTCACACATGTACCCCAGGCCCCTCAAGGTGTAGGGTGGAGCCTTGGGTGAGGGAGTAGGCACGCCCCTGCTCTCCCCATGCCCCACTTTCTGGTACAGCATTCCTAGCTGTCAGGAAATTATACTTGTCAAGGTAGGGTGATGAAACAGTTCATTGGACACTTTGTTAGCTTAACTTTGAATTTTTCAGTATTTAGACATGGGCCCCCCATTTTTCACCTTGCCTCTAGCCCTGGAAATGTTAGGGGTGGTCCTGCTATGAGAAATTTTTGTTTAAAAAGTTTAGCTTTGTTTAGCTAAGCAAAACAGATACAACACCCCAAGAGTAAATAGTCCACAAGACTGCTCTGGTTAACCATGTCACGTAAACTGGTATCTTGTTTTAGTGTAAACATTCTTTGAGGTGATAGAGGAGCTGAAATGTCTGACATTTACTTTTACCTTTAGAATTTTCATAAAGATCATCCTAGTATAATGGAGGATATAGTATTGCTCTGATGCATTTAATTTCAAAGGATACATTTTGAGATAAAGGTTTTATTATATTACAAGTTGTAAAGAACAGAAGTATCATTATTTTACCATAGGATAATAAACTTCTTTACCGTTTGTTTGTTTTTTCTTTTCCTAACAGCATTCCTGGTTCTTCTTTGCAATTATCCAAAAATCAATGGCACAATACTTGATTGACACAAATAAAATTCAGGTAAGATCATGATATCCAACAATTATGTTAACGAATAGGCACTCATTTGTTCCCTTTTTATTTACTTTGCAAAGCTTAGCAATGTATGTCCATCACTTTCTAAGTGGGAGAAATGATTTTGTGTGTCACTTCATCCTCCGTGGCTTTAATTCTTACAGCATGGAAGGCTGGGTGCTCAGAATTTTAGAAATGTGTGGTTCAGTCTAACTCTGAGTTTTGTTTCTATCTGTAGTGAAAATGTGAGTCTAATTTTAAAGCCAGCTTGTGTAGATAAATGAATCTTACCTAGCTCTGCAAAGGGGCTGTGTAAACTCACAAAGTCCACATGAGATGGGAAATCTCAGCTGCCTGAAACTTCCCCCTCGTGTGCAGGAGTTCAGACCGGAAGAGTGGATTCCTGGACCTAAGGGTGGTCTTTAGGGGCTCGTAGAGTTGTATTCAATGTATGATATGTAATCTCACAGCTAAGTCATTTTGCATTGTGACAAAAGTCTCTTGACTATGCGGTTCCACTGCTGCCTGCTGTGGCATATGCTGGGACCATGGAGATAAGATGAGCTGGTACAAACTTTCAGATGTAAAATGAATATGCTCTGAGGACCTAATATAAAACCTAATGATTATAGCTGAGAGCATTGTATCGTATAATGAAATTTGCTGAGAGTAGAACTTAAATCTTCTCACAAAAAGAAAGAAAAGAAGAGAGGGAGGGAGGAAGGAAGGAAAGAAGGAAGGAAGGAAGGAAAAAAGGAAGGAAGGAAGGAAGGAAGGAAGGAAGGAAGGAAGGAAGGAAGGAAGGAAAAATCTGAGAAATAATCAATGTGTGAATTAACCAGGCAGGGGAATCTTTTCCCAGTGTATATGTGTACCAAAACACTACAATGTACACTTTAAATATCTTAGAGTTTTATGTATCAATTATTCCTCAATAAAGCTGAAATATTTTTTTTTTCAAAAGACTAGCTGGAACTTAGAGGACATTTCAAGCCAAAGTCTGTACTCATTAAGTTATTCATTCATTGATTTCTTAGAGTTGTTTATTGGGGAATTCCTAGTTTTAAAAATATCAAAATAAGTTGATTTTTAAATTAAATGGAAACTATGTATCAAAGAAAGTCTAGAATAATATTCATTAAACCATTAATAGTAGTTACTTCCTGAGAGACGAGTGAGGGGAATTAAGATGTGAAAGGTCATAGAGACTATTACATTGTTTTGAATAGTTTGTAATTAACATATGTTATAATTTACTTTTTAATGAAAACATGAAAAAAATGTATTGGCCAAAATACAAGGAAACATTAAATGAATATGATGCCAATCATGACCTTGAAATTAAAAGGGTTTCTATTTTATCATGGCATTCAAGTTTTCCAAAGGACTCTTTTTGTTTGACGATATATAAAATAAAGTCAATCTTCCAGTTTATTCTTTTCCAGGCTTAGTATTTCACATGCCACATTGCAAAAAGAAACATCTATTCTTTCCTTAGCTTCCTCGGGCTCAAAGGTTTCCTGAATCTTACCAAAATGAGTTGGACAATCTTGTAATGGTCCTATCTGATCACGTGATTTGGAAATACAAAGATGCCCTTGAAGAAACCAGAAGGGCCAACCACAGCGTTGCCAGATTTCTCAAGGTACACTTGTACGAGATCACAACTCCCTTCGAGCCCCTAGGGGAGTGAATGCAAGAGAGTCTAAATGTTAATCGATGCACATCTCCATTTACGTACAATGAAGAGTCAAAACTAGCAGCACTCTTAAATACTTTTATCTATACATCTTTCCTGCTTGAAATACTTTGTAATTTTCCCTTCCAGTTTGAAGTCTCATTGAGCAAAGACCAAGGTTAGAGAAAAGTATCCACTTGAGTGTTGTGAAATCGTAGTACTTCTAAATATTTTTAAAGTGAAAAATGAAATGTTTAAAGGAGAAGCTACCCTGAGGCAATATTATTCTCCTGGGCATTTCTGTCCTTGAAGTGATGTTCTGGGCTGGCTCTAGTTCTAACAACAATGACAAATAGCTCCTTTGGGAAAACGTTTGGGAATTTCACATTTTTGTTATATTATCTCCAGGCTCTTTTCACATGATGAAAATATTATACACTAATCACAGAAGAGGAAAACTATCAATTAAACTATTGAGCAACTACTTACTAAACTGGATATATATGGAAATTAGTTATATTTCTTTGGGTTATAGGCTTTCATGTTGAATTGAGAAGAAAAAAATGCAAACTCAAAAAAAAGCTAATGCAGAATTATGGTTTATCATTTAACAGATAATGCGCTCAACCATAAAGATACTGCTCTTTTCTTTCTGCTGTTGTCCAACTCTGGGCTATTGTAACCTTGATGAAGCCATGTTTCTTGTTTTTTTATGGTAGACACAGAACATACTGGATAAGTGTGAGAATATATAAATAAATACTAATGATATAAGTCAAGAGGCTATGGAGGTAGATGGAAAATTAGCCTGAATTGTCTTTGATGAATTTTAATTGAGTCTAATTTCTTTTTTACTGTATTAAGCACTATTTCAAATTATGCATTATATTTGTTCTCACCTTGAATGAATTTTTTTTCTTCTTCAATGTTTGCCTCTAATTTTTGCTTTTTCCTTGCTTCCAGAAAGAAAAGGTGATGGTCAGGGTTAAAGGGGAAAAGGCTAAAGGAGAAAAAATAAATTAAAGGGAAAAAATAAGTGTAGTTTTCTACTACATTTTAAGACCTATGGGGAAAAGTTTACTATTGTACTACAGGTAGTTCATTTGAAGTGCTTTATGGAAGGGGAAATTGTATTTCCATATATTTCATTATCTTTTCTAAAATCTTTAATGATCCTTATAGTGAAAATATTTGAATTTAGAATTTTATCTCTTTTAGCGCTGCTTTACCTTTATGGATCGGGGCTTTGTGTTTAAGATGGTTAACAATTACATCAGCATGTTCTCCTCTGGTGAACTCAAGGTAAGAGCCAAGGGCAGGAGCAGTTGCTTTCTCATCTATGGATTGTAAATAAATAAACTGGTCTTTGTGTGCATCAGCCTAGAATATTAACCTGTTCATTCTCTGCATCAAATAATAGTAATAATAATTACATTAATTATTAGACTTTCTACACCAATGAGAAGCAATCTTAAAATGGTTCATCTGCTGAGTAAGTCACCCAAGTCCTTCCTTAATGGGGGATAAACAAGAGCAGAGTGGAAGTGTTTCTTTTTATTTTTTTTTAATCTGAGCCATCCTGCCACCTGTTGGCAGCTCAGTGGCAGCTCAGCTCGGGCTGGGAATTGAACCAGCAACGCTGTTACTCAGAGCTCACACTCTTGGGCGAGCTCTGAACCAACTGAGCCACTTGGCCGGCCCCTGAAGTGTTTCCATTTCACTCCTATTTCCTGTGGGTGGTGAAGGAGTAGTTGTTTTCAGCTGCAACTCATATAGTCCAGCTTGCTCAGGGCTGTCCTGGTGATAGCACTGGAAGTCCGACTCTCTGGGAATCCTTCAGTCTTGGCTAAAATGGTCAGTTGCTCATGCTACCTAAATAGGGGGTATGGGTGGGGAGATGGATAGGGAACAGTGCTCTCTAGAGAGCAGTGGTTCTCAAAGTGTGGCTGCTAGACTAGCGCGGCAGCATCACCTAAGAACTGAAATCTGTATTGTTAGCAAGACTTTCAGGTGCTTCTTATGCGCTCTCAAGTTTGAGAACCACAGAGCTACATAGTATGGTGAGTGCTGGAGGGAAATAAACCTAGAAATAGGCCAGGTCATGAAAGTTGTTATCAGTTAAGATTTCTGGGGAGTTGCAAGCACCCGCAACCCACTTCGGTTTAAGAAAAAGGAAATTTATTGGGCGTAAATATCATCGATGGAACAGCAGGAGAACTAGACTTGGCAAAGAGCAGGGGCCAGGGCACTTCTAGAGGACAGGAATAATCACAAAGGAGGAACCATTTGGCCAAGGTCTGCTGCTGCCCAAATGAATCAGCTGGAACCATTTTCTCCCTCTTGACACTCTGCTTAAGATTTACATTCAAGAGAGAAAGTGTGTGGTCAGCCTGCCTTGGGTCACTGGCCTGCTCTTAAGGAGGACAGCAGGGCATCTAAACAGATTCCCATTAACCTTTACCCACTTGGAAGAAAGTTTGTTTCCAAAGGGAAATTATTTAGGTAATGGGAAAGAACAACCAATGTAGAAAGGCCAAAACTAAATAACACCTTCTTATAGCCTTTCATGCCATGCTTAGGAATCTGAACTTTTTATTGATTGATTGATTGATTTTTGGCAGTGGAGATTTACTTTTGATGGGGGGAGTTACGTGATTGCGTGTCATGTGGTTTTGAGACTCCAATTCCCTAGGCAAAAAGTTTTTGAAAGAATATTCTTTGTCAGTGCTCCAATTACACAAGAAATTTGTGGGCTGCACATTTAGATCTAATTCCAGTAGACCTACAGTACATATTTTTCAAAGACCAAACAGAAGGTCCTCAATGACCTGTTACAGTGCTGTACAAAACCTTAAATCAAACATGATCCTTGCTTGAAACTACAGTATTTTAAATTGTTGACTGCAGTTGTTGCAAACCATAATTCTAAAATACCTGAACAAATGGAACATATATGATTGCGTTAGCTGAGATAAATGAACATAAGAAACACAATCTGAGTCTTAAAAGTTGATGACTTATCCTGCGTGAGAGTGAAAGTAGAACAGTTATGAACATGTTAATTGTTCCTACTTATGCGGCCGCCCTTAGCTCACATGTTACAGCTGTCTTAGACCAGGTCTGGACTCCATTTATCATGGTCCTAATCAAAACATTATTGAAAAAACAGACTTGTTCACAAGAGCAGGGAACAAGTAGAAGCAATAGAGAACAAATGGCATTATTCACCCTCATTTTAGATTATCTGCAACTCTGTCTTCCTTAGCTGCTTGGATAATTGCAGTTGATTGTAGCGATCTGTTCTGTGGATCCAAAGAGTGTAGTTTTAGAGCTCTGTACATGTGACGTGGCACTGTTTTTCTCAGAATAAACATGTTAACGATATAAACTAAAAGAAGTGACAAATATGACTCAGCAAGATCTTCTCTCATAGAAGCTTAATGTAGGTTATAAGTGGGATCACTTCCTGGAGACATCTTGACCAATCTCCAAAAATAGGGACACTGACTGCATTCACCAACTAGGAGGGGACTGAACCCTTTAAATTTAACAATTACCTGGTGGTCACGCAAAAGTAACTGTATCTACTTTTCAGGTATAAGATTCTCAAGTGTAGATTTTTTGTTTATATTAACTTTCTTGGTATATAAATAATAGATATTCCGTTTGCCTCTTTTTCAGACCTTATGCCAGTATAAATTTGATTTTCTTCAAGAAGTGTGTCAGCAAGAACATTTTATTCCTTTGTGTCTCCCTATAAGATCAGCAAACATTCCAGGTAATAATTCCCAGTATTTACATCAGTTCCTACAAAGGGAAAATTTTTACGTGTTTGTTTTTGTTGTTTTCCTGTTTCCTCAATCTTGGTTTTATCTGAAGTTGTCACATGGGCATTAGAACCAGATAATCAAATTAAAATGCAAAAGAAATTGTTGGCCTGTGGTAACAAACGCAGCTCTGTATTTCTCAATTTTTGTCTGTGTTTCCTTTTTCATTAAAGGGAAGGCCAACAAAATTATAAAATTGGTGACTGTAGATCAAAGAATTTTAACCTAGAGCCATACTGTCTTTCACCATACTGGCTCCAAAAGACAGGTTTCCTTTGATTTTTGAGAGACATAAAATTGCATGGAGGAAAAGTTATACTTTGTGAATACAAATTCATTTAAAATTATCAGTTAATGTGTGTAATTATGTTAGAATCCAATTCCTCAAAATGAGTTTTATACAAAGAGGCTGGTATCTTGGAAGGATGGAAAGCAGGTAGGCAGGCAGATAAACAACATCGTAAATAGTTGCTATCTCTGGGTCAGAAAGACACAGAGATGGGTGTGCTGGTGAGAATGAGGTTCCACATTTTCTTTCCCATACTCACTATAGCATAGTCTACAGAAATTATTTTCATGTTTGTTACTTTTATCACATATATGATGCTCATTCTCTACCATGATCATCCTAGTACTAAAGCATCTCCCATCTAGACATCAGAAACTAATCAAACATCGAGATGCAAAGAAAATATTAAAATGATTTGGGAACTTAAAATACCTCTAAGCAGTGAGTAAATTATTCACAGGGTGCAATTCAGATATTTGTGGAAAGCAGAAACTAAGGTGATAAGGTGCCTCCTTATATACCTTTTCCAGCTTGCACTAGTATTTTGGAGGAAAAAAGAAAATACACTCTGCAGCCTGCAAAGTTTTTTTGTCATTTTCATCTTAAATATAAACTGCATACATAACTTTATTCTTCTTCTAATTTTTGAAGCACACTTTAATCAAAATGCCCTTATAAAAAAGAGAATAGGAATTTATTTTGGACAGTAACATTTTTAGCCTTTGCTTTGTTTTGCATTTGTTTTTGTTTCATAAACGAGTGTCAGGTTATTACTGGGTGAGCCAAGCTGGGTGAGATACTCAGGAGGATCAAACGTGTATTGGGTCATTATGATTCCAGGTGTTTACTATTCGTCAATAACTCAGAAAAAAGGCCTGATCGTCTCTTTTTAGATCTGAGATTATCAACAGTAAACATAAAACTGTAAGTTTCATAGCAAGTAGATTTCTGATTGAAAAATAGGTGCTCAAATAGAGGTTCAGGGTTAAAATAGTGCATTCTTTTTAATGAGACAAATAATCTAAGGTTTTTGTCTTGAAAAACGAAGCTTCATGAAGAGACTTACTTACATTTTAGAACAATATATTTTAATTGTTCAGCATAACTTACACAGCTAATGAATGTACTATGTATCTGAGTATGGATATATCCCAGCTTGTTGTTTATTTTTATTAAATCCAGATCCTTTGACGCCTTCAGAGGCAACTCAAGAGTTACATGCATCAGGTAAATAATAAACTTTTATATGATAAGTATCAATAACCACATCATAATCCAATTATACTGATGAGTATACATCTTACAAATTTCCTGGTTCCAGGTGCTAATAAATAGCCATATATTTAATACCATATAGTCAAACTAGTCAAAAAGTTGTCTGGACTTTTCTCTAGTCACAGATTATTCAATGATTCCCCAGCTTGAATTCTTTGAAATTTTATTCTCTAAGGCTTGATTTTTGTTTTTTTGTTTTTTTAATTTCCCAAAGCACCTGAAACTTCCTTGGAGTATATCATAAATAAAATTCCCAGCTATATACAATAGCATGCTTGTTTCAATATCATTGACTTTGCCTTTATATGCTGTATTTCTTTCAATAAACCACAGCCTGGTTTGAGCTATCTTTTTAAGTTAGAGATTATTAGTATCTTATAAATTGAATATAATGGGAATAGTCCAATGGTGCGTTATTACTAATCATAACTACCTTAATGGTTATCCTGAAGATTAAATAAGATAATATATTGGCGCACAATATGTTTTCTTTAAGTTGGCGCTAATCCTGTTGTTAATAGTTACACTTAGGAAGCACATTGGACAATTCTGAAAAAAAAAGCATTATTACAGAGAATTTTAACATTTCTGTCTCCATAATTCAGGCTTAACATTTTGCAGCCTCCTTGGGTTTTGCTCTCCTCTTGTTCCTTCACATCCTGCAGCCAACTTGTCCTGCTGATATTACTTCTACCACTTCAATCCTACTACCCCAGGCCCTCTCAAGTCTCACCCATTGCCCCAGCCTCCTGTACTGTATCGCTCACCACACATCTTCATACAGTCTAATTCTTTTACTCCTGCTGCCATAATAATAAATCAGTAAAGCACAGGTCTGATTGGGCCACTGATCTCAAAGTCCCTAGTGACGTATTACTTCCTACAGAAATGCAAATGGAATTGTACAGAACTGCAAAAGTGGAGAAACCTAAATGCTACCTGAAGAATTTGTACTTAAGTTTCTCATCACCTAACTTCAATCTATGTCTCAAATCTTAATTCTCAGCATTCCTCTTTTGGGCGCCCTGCTTACTGCCCCCCAGCACCTGGGCTCCCCACATATCTGTGCTTTCAGAATTCCATGCCATGGAAACCCTGTCCCTTGGAGTGTATGATAAATATAATTCCCAGCTATCTATCATAGTATGCTTATCCTCCCAACCGTCTCTCCTCCCCCAACTGCCTCCATCTGCTTCCAGAACCCTCTGTACCCCCAAACCTTAAGCATCCTCAAAGGCCCATTTCAACATACTCCTTCCAGTAACACACCCTGATTCCTCCAGACAGAAAATGTTTTTCTCTCCTTAACTCCTAAAACACTGTAGGCGTGCCACTTTCCTGGAGCTTAGCATTTGTCACCGCACATTATTTGTATTAATATACACACGGAATCTATCTTACTGAATGCTTCTCTCACATTTCTCATCCCTGTGACAAGACTGTATCAGCAAGTCCTCCTGGTAGTGAGAGGAAGTGATCGTTGTTTGATAAATCTGCCTTGCTTATAAAGTGATCATTTGATGGTCCATAATGTGATCTCTGTACTTCCCTCCCAAAGATATGCCTGAATATTCGGTCACAAATGAATTTTGCCGCAAGCACTTCTTAATCGGGATTCTGCTCCGAGAAGTTGGCTTTGCTCTGCAGGAAGACCAAGATGTCAGGCACTTAGCTTTAGCTGTCTTAAAAAATCTAATGGCTAAGCATTCATTTGATGATCGATACAGAGAACCAGTAAGTGATCCTCCTTTCTCCCTTCCCTAAACACCATTTAATGGCTCGCTGCATTAAACGCATAATCAAACCTAGGAGTCTATTGATTTTTATGTGAATCATTTCTTTTGCCTCCCTTTTCACCTAGAGAAAGCAGGCCCAGATAGCGAGCTTATACATGCCCCTCTATGGCATGCTTCTGGACAATATGCCAAGGATTTACCTGAAGGACCTCTACCCCTTCACTGTCAATACATCGAACCAGGTAAGTTGGCATAATATTTCAAATGTCTGTTTGAATAAAGAGTTTACCATTTTTTATATTTTTGCCCTGGATAACCACTCTTCCCCAACTGTGAGCGACTAAGGATTAAACAGCACTTCTTGCTGGGTACATTTGAGACATTCGTATGAGTGTCGTTTGTTCCAGGTTAGTCACCGAAGCCTTCCACCTAGTCCATCTCTTCAGCATTTGGTTTTCATTCTCCTCTGTTCTCTGCAATGCCTTCAGTTCTCTCCAGTATCTATCAGGTTCCTCTGCGGCGTTCATGGCCCATCTTCAGTGCACACCTTCCCCACCACCTTTGTCCATCAGCTCTGTGACCACCTGATGGTAGGATAGCCAAGTGCCTCATTTGTAGCCTCAGCCCAGGACTGGCCTGTTTGTCATCCTCCCTCCACAGAGCCATCATAGTGGCTCTACAACTGTTGCCTGTGTTCAAATCCCAGATGAATTAACACCCCGCAGAATCCTGTAACTATGCCAGATATCACCATCTCAAAGTTAGGTGCTTTGCCTTTGGGATTTTCCCCTTTGGGACTTTGTGCAAATCTCAGCAGTATCGGTTTTTATCTATTAATATGTGACTTAGATAAACTATCCAACCTCTTTAAGCTTCTATTTCATTATTTATAAAATGGGATAAATAACCGCCATCACAGGATTCTCATGAGGATTAAATTGTGTCCTAGAAAACACTTATCGTAGTGACTGGCACATAATAAGTATTTAAAATCTAGGTTTTACTAATAGTAATATATATCAGATAACCCATGATAAGAATGGTATGTAATCTGTAATATAATCCCTGACTATATCAATAACAATTCCAGCCATTTAGTCTGTATCCAAAATATAGTTTCCACTTCAGTGTGAAAGTTTGAAAAATAATGTGAGAAATCTAATTGTGACTAACAAATATGGTTTCGATGGTATTCATTTTCACCACCTGCTTTGGCAGAAGACCTTTGCTGGGATGTAAAAGATCAAATCGAATACAATCTAATTGAAAGCATAGTGAATAAGGCATATGTGGGTTTACAATGTTGAAATGTGATAATCCCCATTAATTTTTCCTATGCATTGAATACAGGGGTCTAGAGATGATCTCAGCACTAATGGAGGATTCCACAGCCAGTCAGCTATGAAACATGCAAACTCTGTGGATACGTCGTTTTCTAAAGATGTTTTAAATTCCATAGCAGGTACCTGAGACATTCCAAAGACACTTGTGTTGAACGCTCATCCATATTCACGTTGTATATCATTCTGTTTTTCACCCACTCCATAATCCATTACATGTAATCCATACAGCAAAGTAGACTACATTTATAAAGCTAGAGAGCCCTTTTACATATTTCTTGGAGTGTCATCCAGTGACTTCCTCTTCTACTTAGCATTTATTTTTACTTGGCCAAGGAGCCATCTACTCAGATATTATCCAATTGCTTCATTCTGGAAACAGTCTTTAAGTTTTTATTGCATACAGCCTTTTAAGATATAATAGCCCTTCAACTTCAAAGAATATTTTAAGAACTATTTTAGAAATGTCATCTTGATTTCTTATAAACTGTAAAAAATTGAATGCTTCTTTCCCAAAAGTATCCTTGTGAACTTTTATTAAAACATGTTTAAAACAGAAACCGTCTTTTAAAAGCTTTTTAAGAAATCAAAGGAACAAGCTTCACTTTATTTCAGTTTATAATGGTCTAAATCCTTCATGCTGGCATGGCCGTTGTAATGATACTTAAAATGTTACAAGTCTTTAGTACCAGTTCCAGACTGTATGTCAACCTGTCACAACACTCCTACCACCTCAATGATCAACAGCTTGGGGTTCATCGTTTTAACTTTTTTTGTGTCTGTGCCCATACATCTCATTATCATCTGTGTGCTGTGGCTTGTGTTTACAGCATTTTCATCAATAGCTATTTCTACAGTAAACCATGCTGATTCCAGAGCATCCTTAGCAAGCCTTGACTCCAACCCAAGTAGCAATGAGAAAAGCAGTGAGAAAACAGACAACTGTGAAAAGGTAGGACTTCGCTCCCAGATGTACTCAGCATTAAGATGAGTCGGAAGTCTCTTACTCTTACTCAATCCTCATTGGTTCTTTGATTCCTAGATCCCAAGACCCTTGTCTTTGATAGGCTCAACTCTTCGATTTGACAAGTTAGATCAAGCGGAAACCAGGAGCCTTCTTATGTGTTTTCTTCACATTATGAAGACAATTTCAGAGGGTAAAGAGAGCTTTTAAAATGAAATTTGAAAAGAAAAAGAAAAATACTTTGAATTTCAAAGAGTCTCAGATTATGTGGTATTTCCTTTCAGAGACTCTGATTGCGTACTGGCAAAGAGCACCCAGTCCAGAGGTGTCTGACTTCTTCAGCATCTTGGAGTAAGTTATAGAGCTGATGAGTTAACACTTTCTTCTGGAACCTTCTAAATAGTTCATTATACAATGCTTCATTCTGAGTACCCCTATGGTGAATTGTCTATCAATAATAATGCATAAAATATATTTTAAATTTAACATTTTTCTTTTGATGAACAGTTTGTATAAGTAAAAGGACATGAATAATTAGAATGTGACTTTTTTCTTTCTAGGGTTTGTCTTCAAAATTTCAGATACCTAGGAAAACGCAATATAATAAGGTAATAATTTTAAGTTCTAATAGGTTAGTCTGTATTTTTTTTTAAAGATTTTATTGGGGATTTGGGGGAGCGGAACAGCGTTAGGGAATCAAGGAAAAGGAACAGACAGGTAGACAAATTGCTGTTTTGTTCTTCAGTTTAGTTGTGGAGTACGTTGCTTCACTGATCTATGTTGGTATGATCATTGTGCTCTTCCTGGGTGGGGCATTTGGTCTACAGTCATTGGTCGGCCGCTCACTTTGGCTCACAGCAGCTCACGCTGGCTGCCAGCCATTCATGTAGCTCATGGCAGCCCACTGCAACCCCGCTGCAGCTTATGCCATCGCTGGCGACTCACGGCAGCCCAGCTCCCAGTCGAGCTGTTGTTCATCATCTTAGCTGTAGAGGGCGCAGCGTCACTAGCCCTTAATGTGGGATCCGAACCGTGGCCCTGCTGCTCAGAGCTGGTGCTCCCAGGCGAGCTCTTAACCAACTGAGCCACTCAGCCGGCCCATAGTCTGTATTTTTAAAAAGAATGTGGCACAATTAATGTATCAGGTTAGACTTATAGATATATGTTAGAAATCTTAAAATGCAAATAAGGATTGTAAGGCTGACCTCACGTTAGACATAGAAGTCTGAAAATTGCCCTTACCCATAGTATAAAGTCATATAGGGAGAAAAGCACAAAACACACATTTCTAAAAGGAAACCACATTTCATGTATATTCTGAACAAATAAATCTACCTTTATATGGATAAAACTTGGAAGATACCTATTTAAGAAAACACTTGAAGTAAATTTAAAAAAAAATAGTTAATCTGGAATCACTTAGTATTGTCATCCTTTTCTCATGAGAGACAACAAAGCCCCCAGGACCTTCATTAAATCCCCAATTTCCCCATTTCCAGAAGAAAATGTGGTTTTATTTTTCACAGCATGTGAATTTGTCAGTTGCCTTTTTTTATTTATATATAAATTGCAACTACTGAGCTAAGATTAAAACTTCACTTTTTCTTGCAGAAAAATTGCTGCTGCATTTAAATTTGTGCAGTCCACCCAGAGCAATGGAACACTCAAAGGATCTAATCCTTCCTGCCAAACATCAGGTCTCTTGTCACAATGGTAATGGCACATTTGTTAGATATATAAAATTGTACTTTTACATATATGTGTATATATGTATGTATCTGTGGGGTATGGATACACACACACGTGCACAGACATGTACACACATATATGAGTGTGTGTGTATATATGTATTTCAAACCCAATGCAGATTTCAAGTTATTCTATACGTTTCTCTGAAGAAACGTCTTAGTTACTTCCCTATCTGCCCCACCAGCTTGTGAAGACCTAAAAGGCAAAGATGATGGCTTATTCACATGCACCTGGAGCACAATACCTTGCATAGAACAAGGGCTAATGAGTATCTTAACTTAATCGAACCTGAAAAAAAATATCTACTAATCTCCTAGTGATGAAGTAAAATGTGGGGTCATCTGCCCTCATTATTTTCAGTACATAATTGTAACGTTTGAGCAGTATTCTTAGAGCTGAAATTGTTTTTTAAAGGGTCAAAGGCAATGAGGAAGCTTGGATGGTCCCATAAGCTCACTCTAGATTTCCTAGTCATTAGACTGGTTTGACTAGCAGATAGGAGCCGGAACCATCCTTCATTAACCTATTCTGTGGGAAACATTTGCCCTGAAATTCCACCTTACAGCTCTTCGGGGACTAGTGATGAAAATTCTTAGCTAAAATTTTCTCCCGTTTGATTTATTCTTCCAGAGCTACCATAGTAATATATAATATAAAATGACTATATTTTAGAAAGAAGTTCAGAAAGAAATATGAAAGTGGTATATAGCCAATAAATCATAGAATAAATTCTGCCTCTCTGTTTATGGGGACCCCTTGAAATTACCCCTTTGTGAGAAAATAAATGACAAAAATGTAATGAGTGTGTTTTGCAAATGGTAATAGAGGACAGTAAACAATTATTTTTCACGCTTAGTGATAGCAGTGACCCATCTGAGGTCACTGCAGTTTTGTATGTTTTGTAGGTTAGGTTTCAGGCTCCTTCCTGAACCATGGGGATTCCCATTCCCCTGCCCCACCCACCCTAGAAACCAGGGCTCATCCCCTGGGAGCTCCAGACTGAAGTAGGTTCAAAACCAGGAAATAATCCAGCCCCAAAAGTCCAAGCCATACATCCCAGAACGCATTATTCCTCGTAGCTTCTGGAATGACCCAGACATTCTTGGCCCCTGAAAGCCAAAGTCAGATCTCCTGTGCCTTGATCCACCCTGAGTATTTGATTTAGCCAGAACCAAAGAAATCTTGAGGAATATGACAAAAAGAAAACCATGGCCGCTTTTTTAGGCTTGACTCTTCAGGATATGTCTTATCATCTGCTACCCTTAAAGAAATGTTCTATTTACGCTGGCCAAATGACAGTTTAAATGAAAGACAAGAATGGGAAGTGTTCCTATTCCCACAATAAACTGGCACATTCCCCCCGCTGAAAGTGCCAAGGAGGCATTGACTGAGAGCCATCGCAGGCCATGATGACTGCCCTGGGAAAGTCGCTGCACAGAGTCCCCCTCATAAGGATTAGATGTCAGCTCCCTGTGGACATGACACAAAAGGAATGACAAAACATGAAGAATTTCTAAATACAAACTAGTAGTAAAGCAAGGGTTGTTTTAGACCAGGTTTTTACATTTTGCCTCCTAAAAACAATTTTGTACAGTTGAGCTAGACAGTGTTGTACTTTTTAATGTCTACCACTTTGCCTTCCTGAGAAACCATAGCCAATGTACCATCTACAGAATCCCATGATCCACTAAATATTAATGAATATGCTTGGGCAGACTTAAATTCAGTATCTATTACTCTTCTGTTACTTTTCAGTATGTCTCTCTGAACTCTTTTATGGCTTAAGTAAAACTTCTTCAAAAGTGCTTTCAAAAGCTGCTTTTATCATGTCACCTATAATTAATATTTTCAATAAAAAGTCTCAATTCAAAAACTTGTTTTACATTTGACTCAATTTAGAGTATTTGAATGCACATTTGGATATCATACCTCAATTACTTTAATCATTTTTCTTATTTAATTTTCAGGATGAACACCACTTCCGGTCATGAAGGACATAAGCAGCACAGATCACAAACTTTACCTATAATTCGAGGCAAAAATGCACTTTCTAACCCCAAACTCTTACAGATGTTAGACAATACCATGGCCAGTAAGTAAATCAGAAATAATAGGAATAGATGTTTATCAGTTTTTCTCTAAATGTTTGTAGCATATGAAATGCATTCTGATGTTTCAGAAATATAGGGGATACTGTTGTCACTGAGACCACTGCTTCTCAGGCTTGCTGTAACCTGGAGAGTATTTCTTAGAGGGGAGAATCACCAGGAAGTGGTTTAAAAAAAACATCATTCCTCATGAGGAAGAAAGGGGAAAAGCAAACCCTTAAGTATAAAAAAAATATATACTTAAGCATATTAAGTATAATATGCTTAGTGTAGCTCCTCTGGAGGAAAAACAAGTAGCTTTTGGTATTGTGAGGGTTATGAGGGGCCTCTTCCAACCAGATCATTGCTGTCTGCTCTGTGGGAAGAGGAGGAAGTTGCCTATGTCCTAGAAATAGTAAGTGTGACGTCTTAAATCCAGTGATGCACACAGTCTAGCTGTGAATGAGGAAAAAATGGGCCAGTATCTTCCATCATGTCAACGGACATATGACCACAGTTGGCTATTTGAAGGCATATGCCTTATCCTGTAAATACTTTTAGTGCCATTCTGAGGAGGCCATTCATGCAAACTGTCCACGGAGACTGTCCATGTGGTCTATTAGCCTAGGGGCGTAAAACTTAACCCAGACTGATTATGGAAGAAATATGAACCTGCCCATGGCTGAATTAATGGAAAACATGTAAGAATAATGGAAATAGACCACTCTGGTTGCTGGAAACTCTACAGCTGACATACGAAAAGGGCACACACACTGTCTTAGTTGAAGCTGCTACAACAAGATACCATAGATGGGGCAACTTAAACAACATTTATTTATCACAGTTCTGGAGGCTGGGAAGTTCAAGATCAAGGTGCCAGCAGATTTGATGTCTGGTTAGGACCCTGCTTCCTGGTTTGCAGACAGCTGCCTTCTTGCTGTGTCCTCACACAATGGCAAGAGAGATGATCTTTCTGGGGTCTCTTCTTCTAAGGGCACTGATCCCACTCATGAGAGCTCCACTCTCAAGACCCAGTTACCTCTCAAAGACCTCATCTCCAAATACTGTCACATTGGGCACAAGCATTTAGTCTGTAGCATTCACTAAAGACTCTGTCGAGTGTTTTTCGTTCAGCCAATGAGGAAGTTGAATAAAAGCACTTCAGTTTAATAAATTATTCATCAAAACACCAGTAAACACGGAATATGTTGTAACAGAAGAAAGTCCTTCATAGGATGCAAAGAGATGCCTTAGATGTTTACATATGTTCTGCTGTATTTTTAGGCAACTCCAATGAAATTGACATCGTGCACCACGTAGACACAGAGGCCAACATAGCTACAGAGGTTTGCCTGACTATCCTAGACCTGCTGTCCCTCTTCACTCAGATTCACCAGGTGAGTGTGGTCCTCACATCATCTGCAGCTTGATAAATCAGAATGTAGAAAAGGCATGTGAAGTCAAGACAATGGTTTTTAAATATTTTATGAAATCGATTAACCTTACATAAATCAACCTAAGTGTGAGTGAAAAACAAGTTACCGATGAGATTCCGATTTTATCAGAAGTTGACTAATGCTACTTTGACATACGCACATGGATGTATCACTATTGTCCAATAATAGACATGCTTTCTTCCTAATTTCTCCTGCTTCACGGTCAGGAAAGCTGGGCTGAGTGAGAATGTGACTTGATTTTTTTCATTCTCAAAGGGAGGGACATATGAGAGCTAGGCGCCACAGGCTAATACTGTTGAGCATCTTTTCATGTGCTTATTTGCCACCTGGGTATCTTTGGTGAACTAGTACTACTACCTACTATTAGAATGGCTAAAGATAAAAAGACTGACCACACCAAGTTTTGGCAAGAATATGGAGAAACTGGAACTCTCATTCACTGATGGTGGGAATGCAAAATGGTACAGACACATTAGAAAACAGTATGTTAGTATAAAAAGTTAAACATCAATCATGTGACCCAACATTCCAATGTTAGGAATTTACCCAGAAGAAATAAAAGCATTTGTTCACACAAAACTTTGTATGTAAATATTCATGGAAACTTTAATTTTAACAATTAAACATTGAAAACAACCCAAATTACATCAACAAGTCAATGGATATTTTTTAAATGGTGTTATAGGCATACAATAGAATATTGCTTAGTTATGCTCAGTGAAAGAAGCTTAACAAAAAGAGTGTTTATTGTATGATTCCATTTATATAATATTGTATAAAATGTGAACTGCAGAAATTGTATTTCAATTATACTGCAATAAAGCTATTAAAAACATTAGCTCAACCTAATGAGCTTAAAGATGTTAAGGTTTGAACTAGAAAACATTGGAGCTGTTGAATAAAGTCTATACCAAACAGAATGAGTATACAAAGCAAGCCCTACATTGAGGTGAAAGGTCAGCATGGTGTAAAAGAAGCAAAAACCATATTTTAATTCTTTATTGCTCAATGGAAATGTCACTCAAATCTCATACATCTTACAGGCTTTACCAATGCCTACGAGGACCTGCCTGTCTGTGACCTCATCTCCTCCTCTCCTAATCCCACCCACTCACCATGTTCAGGTTACTCTGCTCTTTCATCTCAAAATTGAATTCACACGCTCCTTACCCACTCAAGTCCTTGGTACCAGCTCTTTCTCCCCCCTCGGACAATCCTCCCAGACCTGTCCACGGCACACTCCTTTAGCTCACATGTCAATTCATCCATGAGAGAGGTCTTAAGTAACCACCCTATCTAAAGTAATCCTACCCCCAAAGCAATTACCTTTCATCCTATTATATCAATCTACACTGTTTTCTTAGGCAGTGCTTCTTTTCAGTCACTGTGATGTAAGTTTCACTGAGAACATAGACTTTATCTTCTTATTCAGCACTTTATTTCCAGTACCCAGCATTGTGCCTACCACAGGGTGGGTTCGTGAAAATGCAATATCTCTGGAAAGAAGACAAGTGTCCTTTAACTCATCCTAAGTCACATCTGTGTTAAATTTCCAGAGACAACTCCAACAATCAGAATGTCAAAATTCATTGATGAGAAGGGTCTTTGATACCTACATGCTCTTTTTCCAAGTCAACCAGTCGGCCACAGCACTGAAGCATGTGTTTGCCTCCCTGAGACTGTTTGTATGCAAGGTAAGGGTGCTCCAGGGTTCAGGGGAAGGTCAGTGAAAGGCCAGAGTAAGTACACAGTAATCCTTACATCTTTGGGCATGGAGGAAAGAAGGTTTGATTTCTTCTATTTGGGCTTCTTTAGTTTTATTAGACTGTTTATTTGGTTTTATGAAACTATTTGATTCATGATCTCAAAATAAGTTCCCAGCCTTGACAGCTAATCTGCTTAGATATCAAAAGGGAATAAAACACATCTGGCCACCAGTTCTTTGGGTTCTCAGTGTTGGTGGCAGACAGTGAGCTAAAATGCACATGAACTGTGGTGGCTATTCATGCCAAGTCAATGCTTCTCCATTAGAGTAGATCTAGCTGTCACCTTTTAGGATCACCATGGTTTTCCAATGTTGCGTGAATAAAAAAACATTTCAAAGCTCTGCCTCATTTCTTTTGGGCTGTCCTCAGTTACTGATGCAAGGGATACAGAGAATGATTATTTTTAGAAAACAAAAGAAATGCTAACATAAACTTTGATGAATAAAATCATATCCTCTTCCACTTGCAAGTGGAAGAAAAAGATGTGATTAAAAAAAAAAAGAAGGTTTTTGTTCTAAGGAATTTTCACATATGAGAATGAAAAGAGCAAAATGAAGGCATGCAGCTCCCTTCACCATGCTTCCATTTACAGTTCCCTTCAGCGTTCTTTCAAGGCCCTGCGGACCTGTGTGGATCATTCTGCTATGAAGTCCTCAAATGCTGTAACCACAGGTCACGGTCAACTCAGACAGAAGCATCAGCACTGCTGTACTTTTTCATGAGAAAGAACTTTGAATTTAACAAGCAGAAGTCAATTGTCCGATCCCACCTGCAAGTAAGTGCTGCCAATTTTCATTGGCGCTGTTGTTAAAACCACTCTTCTGTTTCAGCATTGATAAAACACAACTGTCCACACGGAAACCCATCACCAGCTCCTCTGCCAGGTTCTTTAAAGATGGTCGTCACACTCAGTTCTGAATCACAGAAAGAGGGCAGCTGGGCGGAAATCAGCAAAGCCCAGAATTGCACCCCTACTTCTTTTTTTCTGCCAAGGAATAGAATCATACAGAATATATAACTGAGGAAACCATGGCTAGTCTAGGATGCCAAATCCCACCACATTCCAAATGCATAAATTCCTTTCTTCAAGGCATCCTAAGATTCCTGCAACCTTTCTTAAGTATTTAAGATTCTAAGGAAAGCCCTAGATATTGCATGGCCTTCTAAAGGTTTAATACATAAAGATGTCATTCATTAGGTCCATGGGGTAAATTAATGATACATTCATCCAATCCAATGATTTTTTTAAAATGCCTATTTCTGAGTTACTTATTATTGAGGTTTCATTTTTCTTTTCTCTTCCAGCTAATCAAGGCTGTAAGCCAGTTAATAGCTGATGCTGGGATTGGAGGCTCTCGGTTTCAACATTCCCTTGCAATTACCAATAATTTTGCTAACGGAGACAAGCAAATGAAAGTAAGAAATGCTCTGTGGGCTTTTTTAAAGAATTGGAATAAACTAAACTGGATTCTTTTTATGAGATATCAAAATCATGAAAACGTACAAATTCAGCGTTGTGTTTATGGAAACTGAGTATTTACATTGAGTTGGCTTGTTTGAACTGATAATCAGCTTTTATACTTTCAACATGTAATCTGTTAAGTGGAACTTCCAAGATGTGTGGTTGAATGGTATGTAACAAGAAAACTTACCACAAATATCCAGAAATACAGTGATGCTCCCATAATCCCACTCTTGGCAAATTTATCTTATCCTTCTTTTAGAACTTTCTAAAGACTTCTACTTTAGTCAGTGTACTGAAATGTCCAGGGGTGGAGCCTGGCTTCAAACATGGCTAAACCCAGATCAAAATAGTGTTTTCAGCTCCCCTCCCCCTATGCCTTTATCTTTGCCCCTCTCTCAGTTCAATTTTCCTCTTTGTTTACTTCATTTACAGGTAGGCTCTCCCCATGAACTTATTCTCTCAAAAATTCTAAGGACACTGGTAGTATTCTATGAGTGGACAAAGCACCTCATTTTATAGTGCCAACTCAAGTCCCAGAACTGAATCTTTTTTTTATCCAACCTTGAGTCATTTGCCCATCCCTAAACCAACCACTGTGGCTTGGGGCATAAAAGAATATGATTGGCCAGGCCAGTATTATGTGTCACCCCGGATGCCTGGAATGAAACAGACCCCACACAAATCACATGAACTAGAGCCAGAGCCAGAGCATCTTAAAGGACAGCCAGGATGCTGTTAGTAGAAGGTGGGCTAGAAAACAAAAGGAAGGCGTCTACTATAATTCTTATCTTTAAATGTGTATAACCATAATCAAAATACATAGACTGCATATGTAAAGAATGTACATATTTATGAGCAATATAGAATAGGATGCACGAAACTGTGATGCCAAGCTATGATGAACAGACTAACTTATGAATTCTAAACAGATCATGACTCAGGCTCTCTCTTTTCCAAAGAACAGTAATTTCCCAGCAGAGGTGAAAGATCTGACTAAGCGTATAAGGACGGTCTTGATGGCCACAGCCCAGATGAAGGAGCATGAGAAGGACCCTGAGATGCTGGTGGATCTCCAGTACAGCCTGGCGAACTCCTATGCCAGCACGCCCGAGCTGCGGAGGACTTGGCTGGAAAGCATGGCCAAGATTCACGCGAGAAACGGAGACTTGTCCGAGGTGATTAGCAAAGACTGTTGTTCTCCATTCACATTGTTCTCTGTCTAAGGACAATTGGATTTTCATTTACAGCATGAAGTAAAAAGTTACCATGTTTTCCCACTCACCTACATATGAGTATGTGCATTACATTTTCCAGGTAGGAATAAGGGCTGCCTGACTCCATATAAATGAAATCAGATAAAGGCCAGTGCCTGCGGGAGGAATGCATTGCAATTATAAGCTATGTGATACAGAACTAAACACCTGAGGCTAAGGAGGATCATTGAAAGAGTGTCCGGAAATTAAGAGTTGTGTAAATTAATGTTCTGTGTTTTGAAACTTCTTCCCTGCCATTGCAGTTGGGTGGGGAAGCTCACCACCGTGGCAAGGAAACTCCTTTTGGGATAATCTGTCCTCATATGCAGCTCACCTGAAATGACAATGGGAAAATGAAAACTCCTGAGAGTGTTAACACTCACACTTCATGTGAGTGAAAAGAGTCCACTGTGTGAAGGTTGTAAATCAACAGCTAACATTTTTATGGCAGTTTAAACACTGGGTGGATTTATACGCAGCAATTCACAGCACCACGGTGGCTTCCGGACACCAAATGGGGAAGTTGTGCCTTATTCCCAGAAATACACCTGCCTTGGGAAGAGCTTACTTTGTCTAGGATAGTCTTCAAACCTGAAGCTGTTTGGAACACTTGTGAGGGACTCTGGGATGGAAACAGGGCCTTGCTTGGCAGCAATTGGATGAAAACAAGAAGGAGAAACCCCATTCCCCTTGGACTGCCCTGAAAATAGAGGAATTCCTCCATAAAACTTGCAAAGGGAAAGCTGAAATCATGTGGCCTCTTCAACAAGTCAAGTTCTAGTATATGTTCAGCAATGTTTAAGGCTTTCCAGGAGATATAAGAGGCCAATAAAACATCGCCCATATAATCTGGTTAGGGGAGCACACATGTGACCTTAGGTCACACTCTTTAATCACGCCACCTTGTGAAATGCCCATTTTTAAGGCAATAGAAATTCAAATGGGGGCCATTACTGGAGGTAGAAAAGGTAAGGAAGCAGCTTATTGCTACTTCCAGTTTAGATCTTGATGTTATAGTTTATACTTTTCACAAGAAAAGAGAACTGTGGATATATATATATATATATATATA